GGTTATGAAAAAAAAAAAAAAAATTAATCATGCGTATACGTATAGGTATATCATGAATAATAACTAATTCAAAAAAAATGTTACCCGTCGTAAAGTCACATATTCATTAGAAAGAAAAAATTAAAAAAAAAAAACAGGCGAGAGAAAAATAATTCACAATATTAGATATATAAAATAATAATTGTGAGACAGCTCTTAGAGCCTTATAATTATATATAGAAACATAAATGTTCCTATATACATATATTTAGACTTAAAAATGGTCATTTTTCTCCCCTTGTGATTCAAATTCAATTTCTATATCCTACAAATATTATAAACGTATACAATTAGATATTTTAAGTTTAAGAATTATAAAGTTTATAAATTATAAATTATAATTATAATTATAAAACAAAGTTTAAAGAAAAAACAAATTTTTTAGGTTTAGCAAGGAATTAAAAATGACAATTTTTAACGTAAATGGAGTTTGATTTTTTTAAGCTCCTCTATTTATGAAAAAATGTATAAGCGAAAGGATAATGATTATATTATATATGTGACAAAATGAATTTAAAAAAAAAAAAGTTGGTGCACACTGAATATGAGAAGTTTTTTTTACAGTATATAAATATATATATACATATTAAGCGAAACGTGTACTTAAATAATGTTTATTAATGTTTGCTAGTAGATTATATTGTTAAGATAATGTATATAAATATCGTTATATTATTGATATATATATATTATATAGAATATCCTTTTCATTCATTAAAGACATCGTAATTATATAAATATAAAACTTGTAAATAAAATCTTCGATCCTGCTTTATAAAAAAAAAAAAACAATTATAAATACTTATAAAAATATTATACTGATGAAAAGAATATATCAATCAAATAGGATTAATGTCAGGGGATTATTTTTTTTATTAAATAATTCATTAACGAATTAATCATTAATATATTTAATTTATATTTAGTTAATATCAAATTCATAACTAATTAATAAATTAATAAATTATGACGAAATTAATTAATTGGGTAACTATTAATTAATTAATCAACTAATTAATTTGCTAATTAATAAATTAAATTTATTTAGTAATTAATAATTAATTTAATTTAATTAGTTATTTTAGTAATTAATAATTAAAATTATTAACTAAGTAATTAGTAGTTAATTTGCAAATTAAATATTTCAATTCTCCACTGATTCATATTAAATCCAAATGCACATTTTTCCTATTTGATCATTGAAATTTCATAAGAGAAAAACAATTATTTGCATTAACAAAAAAATTAAATTGAAAAAAAATTCCCTTTCAACATTAAAGGATTATAAATGGAATTAAAAATAAAATTGTCAAAAATATTATTTACAAAATATTTAAAATTTTTATAAATTGTTTTTTTAAAGTGTTATTTACTTTAGTGATATAATTTATTTATATATTATATTATTATATTATTATATTATTTATATTATAATTATTATTTAAAGTAATCTATTTATAATAATTATCGATAATAATTTATCTGTATTGAATTTTTGTTATTTCATTTTTTATTCAAAAAAATACTTTTAATATTGTTAATGTAAATAATCGTAATTCATTTTAAAAGAATATTTTTCTTCTTTAAAAAGAAATTTTCTATAATTCTTTTCAAAAGTAATAAATAAAATTTAAAATAAAAAAGTCTTTCCTTCCCTATATAAATATTATTATTATAATAAAGTTTAGTCGACATAAAGTAGTTCGCTTTCGCATCAACTGTTCCAATTTATTGTTGTTATATATAAAAAAAAAAAAATTTGTACAGACGAAAAAAACAAAAAACCCTTGCTTCTCATAAAACTATTTTCTTTTCATTTTTTCATTAAATATATATATATATGATAAAATGAATAATGATATAAATATTTATATAAATAAATAATATTATATATATTTAAAGCAACGAAGTTACGTTAAGTTTTGTTTTTTGTAAAGCGTTAAAATGAGATCAAATTAATGATTGTTATTAAGATTTGCAATTTTCGAAAATCAAAAGAAAATTTTGAAACTGAAAAAATATTTCTTCACATCATTATATTATATTTTATCATTAAAATTGAATTTCTCGATAAATATTGATTTAAATAATTAAAAATTAATTATATAAAAAATTTTCCTTTTTAAAATACAATAAAATTTACAAAGAGATTAACCAAATCAAAATTATTAATCCGAATTATTTTTTCGTGCCAAATGATAAAACAACAAAAAAAAAATTAAATATTTCCTTTCAGTTTTAAAATTGCCCAAATGAATTTATCGACTAGATGAAAAAAAAAATAAAATGTATCTTCCAATATTATATTGATATATCACACGTTGTACAAAACAGAAACAAGTTCATAGTGTGGGGACATTTATATATATAGTTCCTTTAAAAAGAAATTTAAAAAGTTGCATCGTTCCTCGCCTACGCTCGTAAATAAACTTGTACTAATTAAAAAGTAAAGTAATTTAAAACAAAAAAAAAATCGAAGAGAGAATATTGAAATATGTGTGTACACTCATTGTTCGAATAAACCAAGAAATAATTTTCCTTCTTCTTCCTTTCAATTTAGAATTTTGATCAATGATTAAAAAAAAAATAAAATGGAAATAAAAACTAGAAAATAAATATTCAAACAATGAGTGACACTTTATTTAAAACAAACAAACGTGCTAACTGTTGTTGTCGTTCAGAAAAAAAAACCCCCCTCTCAAAGGGAATGAGAAACAAGTTGAGAATTTTTTCTGAATTTAACAAAATATGATAATATAAAATAATAAACAAAAAAATGAACCAAACGATAAAAATATGACAATCTAGAAAAAAAAATTGCAATTTATTTAAATTTTTATTTTTACTGCAAATATAAAATATGACAATCTGCGAATCATTTTTTGACCAAATTTTTGTGATTTATTTACTGTTTATAATATATAATACAAATATAATTACAAATATTACTATATTACTATAATTCTCTATATTATCATTAAATGATATTATCTGTGTACACTACAATTTAAAAAAAAAAAAAATCAAAATTTGTAAAATTCAGAAAATATTCAACTGAAAAGTATATAATAAGCCGAGAAACCGTTTAAAATAGAAACGTTTATTATAATGACTTGAAAGTGCAAAAAATATACATACATTAAATGTTGTTTAAAAATTAAATTTACTGATTTCATCAACCTATTACACTTCCTTGCTATTAATTTTTAAATAAAAAAATAAAAATTCGAAATCTAAAATTATTATAAAATTTAATTTGAATTTTATATATTTATATTTTTTTATATTTTATTATTTTTATTTATATCTAAATTTTATATTATTATCATTAAATTATTTTTATTTGTTTACTTTTCTTGTTAGGAAATTATTTTCTATTAATTTTAACGCGCCAAATGAAAAATTCAAAAAAAAAAAAACTTTTGGGAGGCATAATATTTTTATTAAAAAAATTTTATTTTCAAATATAACTAGAATTAATGACAATTTCTAGGAATTAATTAGCAATAATTAAAATGAGAAACGATAAAATAAAGAATTGAGAGAAAGAAAATAAAAAAAAAACTGTTTTGCGACATTTTAAATCTCTCTTGGTCCTTATTTAAACGTTAGTTTTCGATTAAGCATTCTTTATTTGCTCATCAACCTATAATGAGATTGTAACTAATTAAAGCAGCTTCCTCAAGAAAATTAACTGAAATTGAATTTTGCAGACTCTATAGTGTTTTTTTGCAGCTCGACAAAAAAAAAGATTTCATTTTCATGGATAATTAATGTCGTATTAAATGCAATTTTAAATGCTCTTTAAATATATGCAACATCAACTTTCGTCTTAAATTGAATTTTAAAATATAATTAATAATATAAAAATGCATTAAAAAAAATATTCATTACAATTAAAAATATAAATACAAATATTTCTAAATTTTCAATTAAAAATTTAATTTACCGAATTATTATTATTATTATTTGAAAATCTATAATAGAATATTTCATAAAAATCTGTTTTATAAATAATTAATTTTTGAAAAAAAAGTGAAAACTTTCAATAAAAATTAGTGAAATTCAATTTTTAATAAAGTTATAAAATTTTAAACGAAACAAATTTCCGTGCTATTATAAACTTTAGTTTATTTTTAGATAATAATGGATTTACAAAGTTATATTTACTAGAGGTAGTATATAAATTAAGGTATGTATATCAAAGTCAATAATAATTTCCTTCATGAAGTTCAAAAACGAAGTTATTAATAATAAACTTTAATTATAATTAATTAAAGGGCTTTGATTCATTAAGAGTAAAAGCATCTCTGAGGACCTTAACTGTGAGTAAACTATAGTACCGAAAATTCTCATGCAACTGCGTAATGTTCAAAGATATTTCAAAGGATTGTAACATTTAATTAAACCCTTTATCCAACATTTTCTCGATACAAGTTTTAATTAAATAAAGAAAAATAAAAACAAAAAATAAAATACTAATAATAATATATTAATAAATAGAAGGGTACAAATAAATAATTTAAAAAATAATAAATATAATATATATATATTACATATAAATATAAAATAATAGAAATTCTTCAATAATTCACTAAATTCAAAAATTTTCAATTCTATGCAAAAAAATTCTTGCACCTGCCACAAACTTAAAAATGTTCTATCTCTTTCAATTTTCTTCAAATCGATTCGAAACTTCAGAAAAATATTTCTGAGATATACTTTAATAAAAAAAAAATATTTTTTGAAAATAACTAAAGGTACGTCTACTTAATGAACCAATTTTGAAACTTATAAGCGCGTGTACTCAAAAAACTTTTTTTTTGAACAAAAAAACTGTTTTTGTTATTGTTAATGAATTAAAAAATCAAGGTTATGAATATCTTAAAATAAAATTGTTTTATGTTTTATGCTGATATTACGAACTTTTAGGAATGCTGCCAGAAGGGGTAGACAACACGCTTGGCAAGCAAACGACAATGTAGTTTGCGCTCATTCGCGAATACCCTCAAATCTATCTCAGTTGGCTAACAAAAAAAGAATATTTTTAAATTCGCAAAAATCTGTAAATTTCATAGTGAATTGAATGGACGTACTTTTTAATCAAAGGTAATTTTTTGAAATTCGCAAAATTAAATTCTCATTTTCAAGTGCGTTCTGGTGTTAATAAATGTGTAGTAAAAAAAAAACTAAAAAAAATTTATTCAACAAAATATTTGAATTACATTCCTTTAAAAAATATATGCTTTAACTAAAATTAACAGAAATGTTTTAAAGATAATTAACATTCTGTATGCTTTCAAAAAAGATTTAAAAATTTCTTTCGATTGTGACATTGTTGTGGTATTTTATATTGGGCGTCAAATACCTTTTAACTTCTTTTTTTAAGCATTATTAATAACAAAACTATGATTTAAAAATTTTTTAAAAATTATTGTGGTATATTAAATTGGGCGTCATATACCTTTTAACTTCTTTTGTTTAATCTGTCACTAAATTACATTTCAATTTTTTTTCGTAATGTGACATTGTTTTGGTATTTTGATTTGGGCGTCAAATACCTTTTAGCTTCTTTTTTAAACATTATTAATTACAAAATTATGATTTAAAAATTCTTTAAGAATTGTGGTATATTAAATTGGGCGTCATATACCTTTTAACTTCTTTTGTTTAATCTGTTACTAAATTACATTAAAATTTTTTTTTCGTAATGTAACATTGTTGTGGTATTTTGAATTGGGCGTCAAATACATTTTAACTTCTTTTTTTAAGCATTATTAATAACAAAACTATGATTTAAAAATTTTTCAAAAATGTTGTGGTATATTAAATTGGGCGTCATATACCTTTTAATTTCTTTTGTTTAATCTGTCACTAAATTACATTTAAAATTTTTTTTCGTATTGTGACAGTGTTTTGGTATTTTGAATTGGGCGTCATATACCTTTTAACTTCTTTTGTTTAATCTGTTACTAAATTACATTTAAATTTTTTTTTCGTAATATAACATTGTTGTGGTATTTTTAATTGGGCGTCAAATACCTTGTAACTTCTTTTTTAAACGTTATTAATTACAAAATTATAATTTAAAATTTTTTTAAGAATTGTGGTATATTAAATTGGGCGTCATATACCTTTTAACTTCTTTTGTTTAATCTGTCACTAAATTACATTTAAAATTTTTTTTCGTAATGTAACATTGTTGTGGTATTTTTAATTGGGCGTCAAATACCTTTTAACTTCTTTTTTAAACGTTACTAATTACGAAACTATAATATAAAATTTTTTAACAATTGTTGTAGTATATTAAATTGGGCGTCATATACCTTTTAACTTCTTTTGTTCAATGTGTTACTAAATTACATTTAAAAATTTATTTTCGTAATGAAACATTGTGGTATTTTGAATTGGGCGTCAAATACCTTTTAACTTCTTTTTTTAATTTTTAAATGTGTTACTACTTACAAAATAATAATTTTAACTTTTCTTCAGAATATGCGACTTGCGAATTAGGCGTCAAATACTTATTTATTTCTTTTTGTTTACCTGAAAAAAAGAAACACAAGCATTATTAAATTTAAAATAGAATATTTTTACATTTTTAAAAGCATTTATATCACTAAAATTTTAATTAATAATTATTTATTAGTCAAATCGAAATCAATATTTATTTATTTTAAAGAAATAAAAAATACTAAGGCTAATAAGCTCTCAGAGGAACAAATAACATTATTTATAATTAATTATTATGCATTTGCTTATTTTTTAAAATATCCTCTATAATTGTAATAATATTAGTAATAAAATGAAATTTGTAATATTAAGCATTGTCGCAATTTTAATCTACAAAAATTTTAAAGACAGTAAAAAATAAAAAATTTACAGAATGTTAAAATATCAAAAAAAAAATTTCATAAATATATATAATTTTCAAAGTTGATGAAAGAATGCAGACATTGAGATGGATATTTCTACTCTTGGGAATTATAGTACAATTTACGGGAAGTATTTCTGAAGATGAACTTGAGAAAAAAGAATGGTGGGAAACTGCTTTAGTTTATCAAATATGGCCGCGAGCTTATCAAGACAGTAATGGCGATGGCGAGGGTGATTTACAAGGTATTTGGATTTTTTTATTCTCCTCAATGATTTTTCAAGGAATTTAAAAAAAATGTTATATTTAAATTAAATTTTTTAAACTATTACAATAATTAAAAAAAATTGAAACTTGCGGCCAAATAAGAATAAACAAAATTGTAGGAGAAATTTTCTTTTAGGAATAATCAATCGTCTAGACTATATAAAAGATTTAGGAGTCGATGCAATTTGGCTGAATCCCATTTATGAGTCTCCTTGGATTGACTCAGGCTACGATATTACGGATCATTATAAAATTCATCCCACATTTGGAGATGAAGATGATATAAATTTGTTAATAGAAGAAGCACACGAAAGAGGTCATATACATATTTTTTTTTTTTTTTTGAATTTACATTAAATAAATATTCAACTTTTTAATTTTTTTTCTTTTAGATTTGAAAATAATTTTAGACATAGTACCAAATCATTCCAGCATAGAGCATTGGTGGTTTAATTTTTCTCGCGCTGAAATTGAACCATACGATGATTTTTACATTTGGGCTAATGGAACAATTGATGATTCCGGCGAAAGAATTGAACCCAACAATTGGGTACGATTTTTGAAAATAATTTCAAAGAATTTTACTCAAAAAAAAAAAATAATTGCCTAAAAAACTACTCCTTAGATCAGTGTCTACGATAAAGAAAGAAATGGATCAGCTTGGACGTGGGATTCAATCAGGGAACAATGGTATTATCATAAATTTCATCATCTCGAACCAGATTTAAATCTTCGTAACGAAGATGTAGTCGAAAAAATTCTGGTAAAGTTTTAATATTTATAAAAAGAGTCAATAAAAATCAAAATTCTAAATTTTTCATTGGTTTTGGTATTAAGTATTGGGCGTCAAATACCTTTTAATTTCTTTTTTTATATTTAAACATTTTTTATATTAATCACCAAATGTTGGTTAATAAATGAAAAATTGTCTTACACATTTCTTTTTCTATAAATTGATTATAGGAAGTACTAGATTTTTGGTTAGAAAAAGGAGTTGATGGCTTTTTCTTTTCATCTGTATCTTCTTATTTTGAAGATGAAGATCTAAATGACGAAGATGATGATGATGATGAAAATGAAAATATTGGAACTGAAGATAACAATGACAAAGCAGATAAGGATAAAAACGACAATGATGCAGATGATGACAATAATGATCATAACAAAAATGATACAGATGATGCAAATGATACAGATAATACAGATAATACAGATAATAATGATGATAATGATGATAATGATAATGACGATAATGATAACAATATCGATAGTGAAAGCAGATCCATGGAACTTAAAATAGCAACCTTAGAACTTCTGTACAGATTTTGGAAACATGTGGACAATTGGACAGAAGAAAATAATTCTACTTCAAAGTAAGAATATTTTATTTTTTATAAATTCAATATATTTTCCTGTTCCAAAATTTATTTAATGAAACAAAATACCAATTATTAAAAAATTTATCCAAGGCTATATGTAAGTTAAAAAAATATAATCAAACATGTTTTGTTTTAATAGTTTGAAATACATAGAATATATCAATACTTAATATAATCCATTTTGAACAGATTATTAATTGCAAGCACTGGCGAGGAGAATAACAATTTAATAAGTTATTACGGTCATGAAACAGAAACTGGTATTGTGATCTATAATAATCGTCTAATTAGAGCAATAAACAGCAGCAGTGATGCCGATGACATTAAAGCAACAATTGACGATTGGATGGATCTTCTGCCCGATAATGCAACTACCAATTGGGTGGTATAAAAAAACTTTCTTTCCAATTTTTGAAAACTATCACCCTAATATTTAAACCTCAAAATCTATTCCAATGAAATATTTTTAATTTTATATACAAAACAGCGAAAATTGTGTGTAAATTTTTTGTGCAGCTAACAAATCATGATCATTCGAGAACACCAAGTAGAATTGGTTTAGAAGAAATGGATGGACTTGTAATTTTAAGTTTACTTTTACCTGGTCAAGCAATTACATATTATGGTGAGGAAATATCAATGACTGATACACAATTATCGTGGAATGAGACAATTGATTCGATGGCGTGTGAAAATTCAGAAGAAGATTTTGAAAATAATTCACGTGATCCAGCAAGAACGCCAATGCAATGGAATTCAAGTTTTGCTGCTGGATTTTCAACAAATGAAGAAACTTTTTTACCAATAAATCCTCAATTTGATGAGATAAATGTTCAAAATCAATTAAATGAGCCATTTAGTAGTATTAGTATTTATAAAAAAGTTGCTTTACTAAGAAAAGAAAGTCCTGTTTTTACACATGGCGATTACGAATTAGAGAGTGTCAACGAGAAAAGGATTTTAATTCTCAAGAGGTTCGTTTTATAATTTCTCCATTTAGAAAAGTACTTTGAAAACTAATTTCCTTAAAAAGTAGAGATAATTTTACATCTTTTAAATTAAAATTTTTCAGATTTTTAGAAAATTATCCAACATTTATAATTGTTATCAATTTGGAATCATTTAATGAAACAATTGACTTGTCAATACTTTATCCAGAATTGGAGGATACTTTCGAGGTAGTCATTTCAACTGATCCTGACAACGATATGTAAGAATTAAAATGACAAAATCTTAATATCTTTCAGTAACGATTTTTGAATGCTTCTTTTTCTTAATTAATAGGGCGGAAATTGAAAGTCAATTTGTCCTCTCGGGAAATGAGGCGATAGTCTTAAAGGGAAGAGATGAAACTAATGAATCCACGACATCTGTATTCGGTAGGTTAATTAATTTCATCAAAAATAGTTTTTCTATCAGAAATTAGAACTAAAAAGAAAAATTTATAAATTACAATTTACATTTATCTACAGACGAAGAAGCTTCTAACGAGGAAAATAAATCCCAAGAAGAAATAAAGGAAAATAATTATAAAATTGAAACAGGCGGAGGAGCAACTATTACTTTCCAAAAACAATTTATAATTTATTGGATGTTCTTTTTGATTTTTTGCATCATCTTTTAATTGATATTGTAAACAAATAATTATTATAATTTTTCTTTATTTTTCTTTTCGAAAATTTTTTAAATACAATTCATTGAATTTACAATTGTTTTTTTTTCAATTCCAAATCTGAATCCTTCATCCGTTAGATATTTTTAGTTTCAAAATCCGAAACACGGTCATCAAAATCTGTATAGAAATGAAAAAAAAAAGCATAGTTCACCTACTTCTAATTATAATTTTGTCAAACACTTCTTTATTAAATTTCATTACAAATAGTATTTACAAAATCAATGAATTAATTTGAAAAAAATTCAGTAATCGTTGTTTGTTTAATTTTTCTATATACAAAAATTAGATGTATCGATTAAAAATCCGCATCCTTAAAAAGCATCCATACAAATTTTATTTTTATTTCAAAATTCGAAATTTATTCCAATAATTCTCTATAAAAGAAAAATTAATCACGATGTTTACGACTTGATGCAAGAAGAACAGCTGCATATGACACGGCTGACATCAAAATCTGTATAAAAAAGTTAATCATATAATCATAACTTTTATAAATACAACAAAATTAATTTCTAAATAATATAAAATTTTTACAAAAATATCTTACTTTTTTGAATGTAAATAGTGATAAGGGAAAAAATTTTCCCGCTGTAAATTTTAATGGCCTTTGCGATCGAATGATAATCAATATCAATGAACGAATTAATTTTGGATTACAGTCATACCAATTTGTATTATAAACTGCATCAGCTATTTCCATACTCTTTTTTTTTTTTTTTAGAGAATTTTTTAAAATATTGTTAAAAAAAGGAAAACTAAAAATTCAATTTCAAAAACTATAAAATCAACTTACTCGATTAATAAGATTTTCCCCAATTGAATTTTCAGAAAAAATCATAAAACTTGTAACCAAAAAATAGGCAATATTAATTAGAGTTTCGGAAATATTTTTGCCTGGTGAAACCTTATGAAAAAAAAGAGATAAAAATTATTTTCTTACTAGTTTTTTTTAATTATATATTAATATATTTACCACAAGAACTGCAAAACCCATAAAGCACAAAGTTAAAACCATAATTACAACTTCTATTAAGAACAAAATGTTAAACGAACTTTCAAGAATTTCGGATTGTCTATATATAGGAGAAAAATTTATTATCATTGACATCAATTTGATTGTGTTAGAATTTTTTTCAGTGTGTCTAACAAGGATTGAGAAAAAAATTCCCTGACTTCCCTGACCGTTAGACACTCTGTTTTTTTTTCAAAATACACCTTATTATAAAATAATACCTTATTAATTTTAGATGACGTTCAACAAAATTGTTTAAACATTTCTCCTCTTCAGAAATAATTGATTCGTCAGAAGAAAGATTTTTTTGATTTACAATATCTTTGACACTTAATGCCAATATTTGTAATTGTCCACATAAATGATAAACAATGACAGTTAAATAAGTATTTGAACTCATTGCAACGGTAACAAGACATGTTATTAAAAATGCTTGCATCAAATAAATAATTTCATAGTTTGGTGATTTTTCAACATCAAAAGGATAGTACGCTGGGCAGGGTAAACATTTTTTTGTCGATTCAACTCCACATCTCAATAATGGTCTAATTATAAAAACTAAAAAATAGAAAATCCATATTTAATTTTTTATTTTAAATTTTTCCTAATTATTATTATTATTATTATTAATAACTTACTGATGCAAGGACCATACATAAAAGTTAAACACAATTTATTAAGAAATCTTGCATGTTTTGAATTAAATATCATTAAACATTTTGATTCTTTTGATAATGTATTTAAATTCCAATCGTCAATCATATTATTTATCACAGGTAATAATTTTTGTTTTGATCTACCAATGAAAATTGCTTTAAATAATGTTAATATAAGATTGATAGTTACAAAAATAGTTTCAACTTCTTGAAATAAATTATTTAAATAAAAACATTGTACAATTGCTGGTACAGTTATGAATAAGAGAAATATTAATGTAAAATAAAATCGTAAATTTGAAAAACGATCTTCAATTGGCCATAATCCACATAATTGCATACTCCAACGATTAAATTTTACGGCAAAATCAAAATTATATTTCATTTTTCCCTCCAATGACATGATTAACAAAAAACTTATTGAAATTTACTTCGTAACTTAAAACACTGTTAATTGGCATAATACTCGCGGTACTAATAACCATTTAATGACTCTATGTCTGAGCTATTTTTGTACACAAAAAATTCGGCAAAAAAGAGTATAATGAGTTTTTAATAATTCACAAAATATCAAAACACATTTGTCAATTAATATACATTATTAAAAATTATTGTGTTGACAAATTATAATTAAGAGAGGTAAATATGTTAACGACCTTAAGAAATTATTTTCAAAAAATCGGTTTTCTTTTTACGTCTCAAAAATATTCTCCCGAAGTTTCAAATCAATGTTGGAAATTTTAATTATGCCTAAAGTTAAATTTTAAATCATTAAAAAGCCAAAAAAAAAAAATTAATTCTGATGATTACGACTTGTTGCATGAAGAACAGTTGCATATGAGAAAGCCGACATCAAAATCTGTACAAAAATAGAAATATTAAAAACTATTTTAAATACTAATTATTAATTATTAATATCAAAATGTTACCATATCTTACTTTTTTTAAAGTATCATGTGACAAGGGAAAAAATTTTCCTGCTGTAAATTTTAATGGCCTTTGCGATCTCATTATAATCAACATCAATGAACAAATTGATTTTGGATTACAATCATACCAATTTGTATTATAAACTGCATCACCAATATTCATACTCTTAAAAAAAAAAATCCTACTTTACAGAAAAAACATTCTACATATCAGATTTTACTTTTATAAAATGTAAACTTACTTGATTAATAAGATTTTCGCTAATATAAGTGTACAAAAAAATCAAAATCATTGAGGCAAAAAATTGGCTAACATAAACGAATGTCTCAGAAATATTTGCGGATGGTAAAGCCTTATGAAACAATTGATAAAATTAATTTTTAAACTAATATGATTTCTAAAATTTCATTTTCTTTAAAGTACTATTTAAAAACAGTTTAATATTTACCACAAGAATTGCAAAACCCACAAAACACATTGTCATAACAGTGATTACAACTTCCACTAAAAACATAATGTTAAATGAACTTTCAAGAACTTCTGAATCTCTATGGAAAAAATTTTATTATCATTATTATTATTATTAGTATTATTATTTTTATTATTAATATTATTTTCATTGTGCTTAATTTTTATTCAAACCTTATTAATTTTAGGTGTCGTTCAACAAAAATGCGTAAAAATTTACACTCTTCAGAAATCATTGATCCGTTATGAGAAAATTTTTTTGAATTTACAATGTCTTTGACACTTAATGCCAATACTTGTAATTGTCCACACAAATGAAAAACAATAAGAGTTAAAAAACTATTGACATTTATTGCTACAGTAACAAGACAACCCATGAAAAATGTTTGCGTTAAATATGCTAGCTCGAAATTTGGTGATTTTTCAACATCAAAAGGATAGTATGCTTGGCATGGTAAATTTATTTTTGAAGAAGAGTCAACAATCCATTCAATTAGTGGTCTAATTGAAAAAACTAAAAAAAAATAAATTATTTAATTCTTCGAAATTTTAAATATATTAAATGATAAATTTCACTATAGCGTTAAAAAAAATACTGCACAATACTCTTCTTATAAAGCATATATTTTTCTCAATTAATTCACATTAAAAAATTACTTACGGATGTATGGACCGTACATTAAAACCAAACATAGAATATTTAAAAATCTTGCACGTTTTGAATTTAATATCATTAAATTTTTTGATTCATTTGAAAATCCATTATTATCATTCCAATCTAAAATCATATCTTCAACAAGTGAAGCGAGTTTCTCTTTTGAATTTTCAATAAATAATGCTTTAATAAATGTCAATACAAGATTGATAGCAATGAAAATAGTTTCAATTTCTTTAAATAAATTATTTAATAGAAAACATTGTACCGTTACTGGTATAGTGATGCATAATAGAAATATCAACGTCAAATAAAATCGTAATTTTGAAAAACGATCTTCAATTGGCCACATTCCACATAATTGCATACTCCAACGATTAAATTTTACGGCAAAATCAAAATTATATTTCACTTTTTTATTTGACAATAAAATATTTTTCCAACGATTTAGTAGAGCCGGAAAATTAAAATTTATTTTTCTTTGTGACGGCATATTATTTAAAAAAAAAAAAAAAAAAAAAAAAACTAGGAGAATTTAATTTTTCAAAACATACTTTGAAGCAATCTTAGAATATATAGTTTTATAAAATGCTACCATACTGAAAATTATAATAACTATTTAATGGCTTCTATTTAATTTAGTCTCTCACATTTTTGGCAAAAGTGTATAATGAGTTTTTTAATTATTCACAAAAAGACAACATATAAAGATATAGCTTGATCCCCTTAAGTGTGGCGTAATTTTATATCATTAAAAAAAGAACCCTTGTGTTAACATAAATTAACCTAAAATTTATTGTTAACAATCTCACAAAATTGAGACAAAATAATTAGCATTTTACTAAATATATTGTTACAAATTTTGAAAATTAACTTTTGATTTTTGCAGATGAATATTTAAATAAAATAAAACTTTTGAAAACTGGCAAAAATATCAATGTTTTTAACACATAATTTTATATAATAGTTAATAAATTATCATTTTAATTTAAATAATATCAACCCAAAAGTTTTTTAATTATATGAAAAAATTAGGTTACACTTTGCGGCTATCAAGCTATTTTTATCAATATTGTCTCTCTGTGAATAATTAAAAAAACTCATTACACTTTTGTCGAATATAAAACTAAAATAAATGAGAGAAATTAAATGTTTATTGTAATCTCGAACATTATGACAATATTATAAAAATTTCTTCAAAAACGTATTTCAAAAATAAAAAAATTGGTTAATCATTAGAATGCCGTCAAAAAATAAAGTAAATTACAATTTTACACTTCTATATTTATTAATTATTGGAGAAGATTTATACAACAACAGGAAGGAAATTTTAATTTTTCTTTTAATTATTGGAGAAAATTTATGTTATCAAAAAAAGAAGTCAAATATAATTTTAATTTTGCCGTACAACTTAATCGTTGGAGTATGCAATTATGTGGAATGTGTCCAATTGAGGTCGGTAATCCTGGAAGTACCACTTCCGCAAAAAAAGTTTTTACATATGCCAACATTTCTACACTTTTCGGTGAATTTTGTGCAAGAATATGGAATAAAATCGTCTGCCTAAGAAAAAAATAATTTTTTTTCGAAAGTTTTTTTGCTTTTGGATGAGTTTTTGGTAATAAAAAGGGTTTTCCTGTACTCGGATCTGGGTGTCAATATTTATCTACACTTTTCGGTGTATTTTGTGCAGGAATATGCAATAAAATCGTCTGCCTAAGAAAAATTGAATTTTTTTGGGAAATTTTTTCTGATTTTGGATGGTTTTTGGTGGTAATAGGGGTCTTCCTCTACTCGGATCGGGGTGTCAATTTTTTTCTACACTTTTAGGTGTATTTCGTTCAAGAAATTGCAATAAAATAGTCTGCCTAAGATAAATTGAATTTTTTTGAAAAATTTTTTTTGACGAAAATCGCTTTAATGGTCATAAAATTGGTGTTCCTCTACTCGGATCGGGCTGTCAATTTTTTTCTACACTTTTAGGTGTATTTTGTGCAAGAAATTGCAATAAAATAGTCCGCCTAAGAAAAATTGAATTTTTTTGGGAACTTTTTTATTTTTTTGGATTTATGGGTTGGATGACTTTTTGGTGGTAATAGGTGTCTTCCTCTACTCGGATTTGGCTGTCGATTTTTTTCTACACTTTTAGGTGTATTTTGTGCAAGAAATTACAATAAAATAGTCCGCCTAAGTAAAATTGAATTTTTTTGGGAACTTTTTTATTTTTTTGTATTTATGGGTTGGATGACTTTTTGGTAGTAATAGGTGTCTTCCTCTACTCGGATTTGGCTGTCGATTTTTTTCTACACTTTTAGGTGTATTTTGTGCAAGAAGTTGCAATAAAATAGTCCGCCTAAGAAAAATTGAATTTTTTTGGGAACTTTTTTATTTTTTTGGATTTATGGGTTGGATGACTTTTTGGTGGTAATAGGTGTCTTCCTCTACTCGGATTTGGCTGTCGATTTTTTTCTACACTTTTAGGTGTATTTTGTGCAAGAAATTGCAATAAAATAATCCGCCTAAGTAAAATTGAATTTTTTTTGGAACTTTTTTATTTTTTTGTATTTATGGGTTGGATGACTTTTTGGTAGTAATAGGTGTCTTCCTCTACTCGGATTTGGCTGTCGATTTTTTTCTACACTTTTAGGTGTATTTTGTGCAAGAAATTGCAATAAAATAGTCCGCCTAAGAAAAATTGAATTTTTTTGGGAACTTTTTTATTTTTTTGGATTTATGGGTTGGATGACTTTTTGGTGGTAATAGGTGTCTTCCTCTACTCGGATTTGGCTGTCGATTTTTTTCTACACTTTTAGGTGTATTTTGTGCAAGAAATTGCAATAAAATAGTCCGCCTAAGAAAAATAGAATTTTTTTGGGAACTTTTTTATTTTTTTGGATTTATGTGTTGGATGACTTTTTGGTGGTAATAGGTGTCTTCCTCTACTCGGATTTGGCTGTAGATTTTTTTCTACACTTTTAGGTGTATTTTGTGCAAGAAATTGCAATAAAATAGTCCGCCTAAGAAAAATTGAATTTTTTTGGGAACTTTTTTATTTTTTTGGATTTATGGGTTGGATGACTTTTTGGTGGTAATAGGTGTCTTCCTCTACTCGTATTTGGCTGTCGATTTTTTTCTACACTTTTAGGTGTATTTTGTGCAAGAAATTGCAATAAAATAGTCCGCCTAAGAAAAATTGAATTTTTTTGGGAACTTTTTTATTTTTTTGGATTTATGAGTTGGATGACTTTTTGGTGGTAATAGGTGTCTTCCTCTACTCGTATTTGGCTGTCGATTTTTTTCTACACTTTTAGGTGTATTTTGTGCAAGAAATTGCAATAAAATAGTCCGCCTAAGAAGAATAGAATTTTTTTGGGAACTTTTTTATTTTTTTGGATTTATGGGTTGGATGACTTTTTGGTGGTAATAGGTGTCTTCCTGTACTCGGATTTGGCTGTAGATTTTTTTCTACACTTTTAGGTGTATTTTGTGCAAGAAATTGCAATAAAATAGTCCGCCTAAGAAAAATTGAATTTTTTTGGGAACTTTTTTATTTTTTTGGATTTATGGGTTGGATGTCTTTTTGGTGGTAATAGGTGTCTTCCTCTACTCGGATTTGGCTGTCGATTTTTTTCTACACTTTTAGGTGTATTTTGTGCAAGAAATTGCAATAAAATAATCCGCCTAAGTAAAATTGAATTTTTTTTGGGAACTTTTTTATTTTTTTGGATTTATGGGTTGGATGACTTTTTGGTGGTAATAGGTGTCTTCCTCTACTCGGATTTGGCTGTCGATTTTTTTCTACACTTTTAGGTGTATTTTGTGCAAGAAATTGCAATAAAATAATCCGCCTAAGTAAAATTGAATTTTTTTGGGAACTTTTTTATTTTTTTGTATTTATGGGTTGGATGAGTTTTTGGTAGTAATAGGTGTCTTCCTCTACTCGGATTTGGCTGTCGATTTTTTTCTACACTTTTAGGTGTATTTTGTGCAAGAAATTACAATAAAATAGTCCGCCTAAGAAAAATTGAATTTTTTTGGGAACTTTTTTATTTTTTTGGATTTATGGGTTGGATGACTTTTTGGTGGTAATAGGTGTCTTCCTCTACTCGGATTTGGCTGTCGATTTTTTTCTACACTTTTAGGTGTATTTTGTGCAAGAAATTGCAATAAAATAGTCCGCCTAAGAAAAATAGAATTTTTTTGGGAACTTTTTTATTTTTTTGGATTTATGTGTTGTATGACTTTTTGGTGGTAATAGGTGTCTTCCTCTACTCGGATTTGGCTGTAGATTTTTTTCTACACTTTTAGGTGTATTTTGTGCAAGAAATTACAATAAAATAGTCCGCCTAAGAAAAATTGAATTTTTTTGGGAACTTTTTTATTTTTTTGGATTTATGGGTTGGATGACTTTTTGGTGGTAATAGGTGTCTTCCTCTACTCGGATTTGGCTGTCGATTTTTTTCTACACTTTTATATGTATTTTGTGCAAGAAATTGCAATAAAATAGTCCGCCTAAGAAAAATTGAATTTTTTTGGAACTTTTTTATTTTTTTGGATTTATGGGTTGGATGTCTTTTTGGTGGTAATAGGTGTCTTCCTCTACTCGGATTTGGCTGTCGATTTTTTTCTACACTTTTATATGTATTTTGTGCAAGAAATTGCAATAAAATAGTCCGCCTAAGAAAAATTGAATTTTTTTGGGAACTTTTTTATTTTTTTGGATTTATGGGTTGGATGACTTTTTGGTGGTAATAGGTGTCTTCCTCTACTCGGATTTGGCTGTCGATTTTTTTCTACACTTTTAGGTGTATTTTGTGCAAGAAATTGCAATAAAATAATCCGCCTAAGTAAAATTGAATTTTTTTGGGAACTTTTTTATTTTTTTGTAATTATGGGTTGGATGACTTTTTGGTAGTAATAGGTGTCTTCCTCTACTCGGATTTGGCTGTCGATTTTTTTCTACACTTTTAGGTGTATTTTGTGCAAGAAATTGCAATAAAATAGTCCGCCTAAGAAAAATTGAATTTTTTTGGGAACTTTTTTATTTTTTTGGATTTATGGGTTGGATGACTTTTTGGTGGTAATAGGTGTCTTCCTCTACTCGGATTTGGCTGTCGATTTTTTTCTACACTTTTAGGTGTATTTTGTGCAAGAAATTGCAATAAAATAATCCGCCTAAGTAAAATTGAATTTTTTTGGGAACTTTTTTATTTTTTTGTATTTATGGGTTGGATGACTTTTTGGTAGTAATAGGTGTCTTCCTCTACTCGGATTTGGCTGTCGATTTTTTTCTACACTTTTAGGTGTATTTTGTGCAAGAAATTGCAATAAAATAGTCCGCCTAAGAAAAATAGAATTTTTTTGGGAACTTTTTTATTTTTTTGGATTTATGGGTTGGATGACTATTTGGTGGTAATAGGTGTCTTCCTCTACTCGGATTTGGCTGTAGATTTTTTTCTACACTTTTAGGTGTATTTTGTGCAAGAAATTGCAATAAAATAATCCGCCTAAGTAAAATTGAATTTTTTTGGGAACTTTTTTATTTTTTTGGATTTATGGGTTGGATGACTTTTTGGTGGTAATAGGTGTCTTCCTCTACTCGGATTTGGCTGTAGATTTTTTTCTACACTTTTAGGTGTATTTTGTGCAAGAAATTGCAATAAAATAGTCCGCCTAAGAAAAATTGAATTTTTTTGGGAACTTTTTTATTTTTTTGGATTTATGGGTTGGATGTCTTTTTGGTGGTAATAGGTGTCTTCCTCTACTCGGATTTGGCTGTCGATTTTTTTCTACACTTTTAGGTGTATTTTGTGCAAGAAATTGCAATAAAATAATCCGCCTAAGAAAAATTGAATTTTTTTGGGAACTTTTTTATTTTTTTGGATTTATGAGTTGGATGACTTTTTGGTGGTAATAGGTGTCTTCCTCTACTCGTATTTGGCTGTCGATTTTTTTCTACACTTTTAGGTGTATTTTGTGCAAGAAATTGCAATAAAATAGTCCGCCTAAGAAGAATAGAATTTTTTTGGGAACTTTTTTATTTTTTTGGATTTATGGGTTGGATGACTTTTTGGTGGTAATAGGTGTCTTCCTGTACTCGGATTTGGCTGTAGATTTTTTTCTACACTTTTAGGTGTATTTTGTGCAAGAAATTGCAATAAAATAGTCCGCCTAAGAAAAATTGAATTTTTTTGGGAACTTTTTTATTTTTTTGGATTTATGGGTTGGATGTCTTTTTGGTGGTAATAGGTGTCTTCCTCTACTCGGATTTGGCTGTCGATTTTTTTCTACACTTTTAGGTGTATTTTGTGCAAGAAATTGCAATAAAATAATCCGCCTAAGTAAAATTGAATTTTTTTGGGAACTTTTTTATTTTTTTGGATTTATGGGTTGGATGACTTTTTGGTGGTAATAGGTGTCTTCCTCTACTCGGATTTGGCTGTCGATTTTTTTCTACACTTTTAGGTGTATTTTGTGCAAGAAATTGCAATAAAATAATCCGCCTAAGTAAAATTGAATTTTTTTGGGAACTTTTTTATTTTTTTGTATTTATGGGTTGGATGAGTTTTTGGTAGTAATAGGTGTCTTCCTCTACTCGGATTTGGCTGTCGATTTTTTTCTACACTTTTAGGTGTATTTTGTGCAAGAAATTACAATAAAATAGTCCGCCTAAGAAAAATTGAATTTTTTTGGGAACTTTTTTATTTTTTTGGATTTATGGGTTGGATGACTTTTTGGTGGTAATAGGTGTCTTCCTCTACTCGGATTTGGCTGTCGATTTTTTTCTACACTTTTAGGTGTATTTTGTGCAAGAAATTGCAATAAAATAGTCCGCCTAAGAAAAATTGAATTTTTTTGGGAACTTTTTTATTTTTTTGGATTTATGGGTTGGATGACTTTTTGGTGGTAATAGGTGTCTTCCTCTACTCGGATTTGGCTGTCGATTTTTTTCTACACTTTTAGGTGTATTTTGTGCAAGAAATTGCAATAAAATAATCCGCCTAAGTAAAATTGAATTTTTTTGGGAACTTTTTTATTTTTTTGTAATTATGGGTTGGATGACTTTTTGGTAGTAATAGGTGTCTTCCTCTACTCGGATTTGGCTGTCGATTTTTTTCTACACTTTTAGGTGTATTTTGTGCAAGAAATTGCAATAAAATAGTCCGCCTAAGAAAAATTGAATTTTTTTGGGAACTTTTTTATTTTTTTGGATTTATGGGTTGGATGACTTTTTGGTGGTAATAGGTGTCTTCCTCTACTCGGATTTGGCTGTCGATTTTTTTCTACACTTTTAGGTGTATTTTGTGCAAGAAATTGCAATAAAATAATCCGCCTAAGTAAAATTGAATTTTTTTGGGAACTTTTTTATTTTTTTGTATTTATGGGTTGGATGACTTTTTGGTAGTAATAGGTGTCTTCCTCTACTCGGATTTGGCTGTCGATTTTTTTCTACACTTTTAGGTGTATTTTGTGCAAGAAATTGCAATAAAATAGTCCGCCTAAGAAAAATAGAATTTTTTTGGGAACTTTTTTATTTTTTTGGATTTATGGGTTGGATGACTATTTGGTGGTAATAGGTGTCTTCCTCTACTCGGATTTGGCTGTAGATTTTTTTCTACACTTTTAGGTGTATTTTGTGCAAGAAATTGCAATAAAATAATCCGCCTAAGTAAAATTGAATTTTTTTGGGAACTTTTTTATTTTTTTGGATTTATGGGTTGGATGACTTTTTGGTGGTAATAGGTGTCTTCCTCTACTCGGATTTGGCTGTAGATTTTTTTCTACACTTTTAGGTGTATTTTGTGCAAGAAATTGCAATAAAATAGTCCGCCTAAGAAAAATTGAATTTTTTTGGGAACTTTTTTATTTTTTTGGATTTATGGGTTGGATGTCTTTTTGGTGGTAATAGGTGTCTTCCTCTACTCGGATTTGGCTGTCGATTTTTTTCTACACTTTTAGGTGTATTTTGTGCAAGAAATTGCAATAAAATAATCCGCCTAAGTAAAATTGAATTTTTTTGGGAACTTTTTTATTTTTTTGTATTTATGGGTTGGATGACTTTTTGGTAGTAATAGGTGTCTTCCTCTACTCGGATTTGGCTGTCGATTTTTTTCTACACTTTTAGGTGTATTTTGTGCAAGAAATTACAATAAAATAGTCCGCCTAAGAAAAATAGAATTTTTTTGGGAACTTTTTTATTTTTTTGGATTTATGGGTTGGATGACTTTTTGGTGGTAATAGGTGTCTTCCTCTACTCGGATTTGGCTGTAGATTTTTTTCTACACTTTTAGGTGTATTTTGTGCAAGAAATTGCAATAAAATAGTCTGCCTAAGATAAATTAAATTTTTTTGAAAAATTTTTTTTGACGAAAATCGCTTTAATGGTCATAAAATTGGTGTTCCTTTACTCGGATCGGGCTGTCAATTTTTTTCTACACTTCTAGGTGTATTTTGTGCAAGAAATTGCAATAAAATAGTCTGCCTAAGAAAAATTAAATTTTTTTGGAAAATAGGTTATGCAGTTTATGATAAAAATTGGTACGATTGCAATCCAAAATTAATTCGTTCATTCATGTTGATTATCATTCGATCGCAAAGGCCAATGAAATTCACGGCAGGAATATTTTTTCCCTTATCACATGATACATTTAAAAATGTAATTTATATATATATATACACCCAGAAAAAAATTTATTTCATTTAAATAATCGGTTACTTCAATATTTTATCAAATAAATGATATTTACTTGAAACAAATAATTTTTATTTGAATTAAATAAATTGTATTTGGACCAATAATTTCTGTATTTGAAACAAATACTATTTAATTGAGTCAAATAAAAATTATTTGGTTCAAGTAAATATTTATTTAATAATAATCAAAGTAATCGAATATTTGAATCAAATAAATTTTTTTTTCAAGTAAAATTTTTATATTAATATTTTTTTTTATTATACTATTTTTAAGAATTGAGTTGAATTAAAAAAAAATAATAAATATAAGTTCTCATAATTTTTTTTTTTTTTTATATACAGATTTTGATGTCCGCCGTGTCATATGCAACCGTTTTAAAGGCAACAAGTCGTAATCATCAAAGTTAATTTTATTTTGTCAGATTTACGAAAAAAATATTTAAATATTTAAAAACCAATTTTTTTCCTTTCTAGCTTGTAGGCATTAAATTTTATCAGTCTTTCTATATTTTTCCTGTAATGTACACGTGAAAATACGTATGTGTACTAAATTGCAGTTCTTCATATACAAAAATGTAGAAGTTAAGGGGGGGGACAGGGTCATTTTTTGCAATTTTTTCGAAAAAAACCGATTTCTTTCCTTTCTAGCTCATAGCCATCAAATCCAATCGTTCTCTCTATATTTTTCCTGGGGGGGGGGACACAAAGCTGGGATGGACGCAAGAGTTCCGTCGGTACACCGAAGGTGTACGGAACTCTTAAATAAAAGAAGAAAAAATAAAATTTTCACACTGAGAAAAATGTTTAGTCAGAGCAACCAAAATTTGGTTGGGCCAACAAAAGAATTTTGTTGGTATTTAATCAACTAAAAAATTTGGTTGAGTGTTTTTTGTTGGCATAACAAAAATGTTTGGTTAGCTCAACCAAATTTTTTTTGTTAGGTCAACAAAAATGTTTGGTTGATCAAACAAACAGTTTTTTTTGTAAAATTGAAAATTTTATTCTATCTTATTTCTTTTCTTTTAATTTTTTTTATTTATTTCATTATTTAATTATTATCAATTTAACATTGGATTTATATAAATATAAATTAATAAATATAAATTTATATATAAATTAATAAATTAATAAAAAGAATTACTTAAAAAAATAAATATAATTTGATTGAATATATTAAACAAAATTTGCAAGAGCATTGAATTTTAATTTAAAAAAAAAAAAAAAACGTTGGCTGCATATCTACATTAATCACGCGATTAAAAAATAAAAAAAGACTTCTTAGAAACATTAAAAAAAAAATGCAGACAATTAACACTTGTTGTATTTGCATTAAATTAATATTTTATACTATTCTCGGGTCTCTCGATCATCGACCACAGTTCGTTTCATATCTCAATCATCAACTGTCAGAATCAGAAATTTTCAAAAAAAAAAAAAATTTCAAGTTAAAACAAAAAATTATATTAAAAAAAAAAAACCAAATTTTTCCCTTCCAATTTAATTAAAGAATAAAAATTTATTATATTTTTCAAAAATTAAAAATTAATTAATCGATAATTAATAATTAAATTGTGAATAAATTTTATTATATAAAAAAAAAAAGAAGTAAAACGTCCTTTTTTTGGAATATATATATATATATATTATAAACGTCTTTTAGATAAGAGAGAGAGACTGTAGGAAGAGAAAACAATGATTATTTTCATTTCGAACTAGAACTTTTATCTTTTTCAATATGTTCGTGTCAAGAATCAAGTTTAATGTGTGTTACTACGTCTCGATCGAAGAGAAAAATTCGAATAATCAAAATTATTAAAAATTATTTCTTACAATAGGAAAAAAAAAAAAAATTCAATCAAATCACGTACTAATTTTTTTTTATATGTAAAAATTGCAAAAAAGTGATTTAAAAAAAAAAAATTATTATTTTCTGTTATGGAAAAATGATACCAAAAGAAGAATCATGTCTACTTGGTAAATCTCGTTTCAATTCACTTTGGATAAATTCGAGTTATGAAAAAAATTTACAAGAAGGTATGCAAAGTTTATAAAAAAAAAAAATTTTTTTCCCGCATAATAAATATTTATTCTTATATTTTCCAAAATATTTTTAATTTATTAACCTTCAATTTATTTTTTTATTTATATTTTATTTATAATTAATTTTTAATTAATAATTTTAATAATTTTAATTTAAAAAAAAATTTTTAATTATTATTTATTTTATTTTAATTTTAAAAAAAATTTTAATTATTTTTTATTTTATTTTAATTTTTAAAAAAAATTTAATTATTATTTATTTTATTTTAATTTAAAAAAAATTTTAAATTATTATTTATTTTATTTTAATTTTTTTAATTTATTATTTTTATAATTTTTTTTTTCAATTATAATTATCGAAATTATTTTGTAATTAACTGTAAATAAAATAAATTAGAAAAGTTAAAAATAAGACGAAAATGAATTTAAAGAAAATTATTCACTTTTTTTTAAATGAATAATTTAAAAAAATAAAGAAATTAATTTTAAAAAAATAAAAAATTAAAATTTGTGAAAAAAAAAATAAATTATTTTGTAATTAAAAAATATTATTTTTTCCAGAATTGACACAAGAAGATTTAAGATATTATACGGCTGGACCACTTTGGATAAAAATAAGATTAGTTCTATTTTGGTTGTTTTGGTCAATTTTTGTTGTTGTTTTAATAATTTCAATATTATTATGCTGGTGTATTATACCTTCATTGTGTTACGAATAATTTTTTCGATTTTGTAAAGGTAAATTTAATTTTTTTTTTTACCTATATTTCAAAAAAAAAATCAGCTAAAAATTCAATTTTTTTCCTATTTAATTATCTTCATAAATTTTAGATTCTAATTATTAATTTTCCGATATTTTATAATTTCAGAATCATCATTATTTGATTTATCATGAAAATATATTTTTATTAACCTAACCTTTTTATAATAAACCGAATTCTAAATAATTAAAAATTTTCATTTCATTTTCTAATAAGTAAAAAAAAAATGTATTCACGAAAATTGGACATGTATATAAGAAAATAATAATTGATATCAAAATATTTCAAAAAAAGGCCTTTTAATTTCACAATTCTTATATATAGAAAATAAAATAATTGATAAATAGACAAATAAAAAAACTAACCTTTTATAATGAACAGCCGTTGTGGATGATGATGATGATTTTCAAATGAATTTGTAGTTATTAATTGAAAAAAAATTTCCGTTAAAACACTCTTATTCCAAGAAATACGAAAATAAAAAATTTTCACAGGAAATGACAATTACGCAGAACTCGGGGAGTAAAAGACGCGCGACAAACATAACCTCACATTTCCGAACGACTTTATTGACGACTATATTAATTTTAAATTGATACACTTCAATTTTCTATCAAAAACATATAATATCAAATTTAATTTACCGATATTTAACAAATTTAACCAAAAACAATTACTATTTATCGAAAATTGAGACAATAATCACCTTAATAACCGGCAACTTCAAGCCCTGAAACAGGAATGAACTGGAATGCTACAATGCTACATGGCTAATCAATCATTCATCTAAAATGTAGTCCTCAACTTTTGATTCGTTATCTTTTTTACCAAAAATTAAGAAAAATATCAATTTACAACAAAGATTTAAAAGACAAATTGTAATCACTATCAGTGAATGTATTTCTTTTACAAAAGTAAAAACTGTCAGTACAGTAAAGAAAGAAATTATTCTATTGACCACTTCAGTCCAACTCAACGCATGCGCGTATCCATTTTACACATCGCGGGAAATTTTAAACAATATTTTCAATTTACTAATAATAATTTACCAATTATTATTATTAATAAATTTACCAATTATTATTATTAATATTTATTAATAAATTAATTAATTCAAATATTTATTTTCTAACATGAAAAATAGAAATTAAAAAAAAAATTCTTTGTAACGAATCTAACCTCAAAATAAAGTGTGAAATTTTTTAAACAAACAAAAGAGAACTAGTCACATGATTTGCATAACAAATGTAAATATTTACACGTTTTTAAAATAAAATTCTCAGACAATATTTATCGCTCCTCGATTAAAGAAGCCATTTTTCTTTTTCTGCTCTCGCAAGTCTCGCACGGATCGATTATTTAGTGCAAAGCGTGTGTGTATGTCCGATCATTCGCGCGGTGCTTGCTTGTTTTTGAATTTCTTTAAAAGGTGGGGAAATATCATATATAGTGAAATAACTAGTTTCGGTCATTACGTAAGAATAACGCCCTTGAAGGCATTATTATAACTCGACACAAAATGGATAAGAGTGGGAGACAGCTTGAGGATGGCAACAAGGTGAATGGCACCAATAACGAACAGTCAGTTGTGCAGGCCACGTACAAGAAGTTGCCTGAGGAAGATACAAACTGGCAACAACAACAACAACAACAGCAGGAGGAGGAGCAACAACAGCAGCAGGCAAAAGACGAGAGGGAAACTGAAGATCAAATCCCGGACATTGACACAATGGTCAAACAAAACGGTACCGAACCCGAAATTGAAGATGAAGCTAAAGAACGAATGCTTCAGGATAATGTTAAATTATCACCGAAAAAGGATAATATCGAGGTATTTATATATTTCAATTTTTTAATTATTTTTCTCAATTTTTTCCTCTGAATTTTTATCGATAAATTGTTAAACATAACCTCTCTTTTTTTTTATACCTCCTAAAAATAAATTTCGGTCTATAGGGAAAAATTTATTTTTGTGTTTTATTTTCTATATATATATATATGTATTTATCTCCCATGAACTGTGAACTTTAATTTAATTATTGAGATGAGTCTGCGTGCGAAATAATAATAATAAAAAAAAAAAAAAAGAAACAGTTAATCGTTTTTATTTTCCTTCGATGTTTATTTTTTATTGATTGATTGATTGATAGTTCAATTATAATAATAAGAGAGGAAGAGTAAATCTTCAATTATATTGCATCATCTTAAAACTAACCTCAATTTTCTCTTATTTTCTTTATCTTCTCTTCTTCCTAATTATATCTTTGATGTTGAGAATTTTTTTTATTTCTTATTTAAAAAATTAAAAAAATAATAATTTAGAAATAAAAGAATTTTTAACGGATTTTTAGGGATTGAATTTCTTTTTTTTTCTAAGGGTCAACAAAGGGCTGTGTAAGAATTGTTTGCTTTATTGATTTTTTTTTTCAACCGAGTGGGGGGATAAGGGAACCTTGAATAATCTCCTAGTTCCATAGATTTGCAATTTTTATGTTTCTGTTCGCAATAAATGAAATTGTATATTTTTTTTTCATTTTATGTTTTCGAAATAATAAAAATTGTTTTTATGTATAAAAAAAACGAAAATTAATTTTCTTTATTTATTTAAACACTTGTTGATTAAACAAATTTGCCACAAAAAATATTTATATTAAAAATTGTTTATATTTTTGGGTTGAAAAAAATTTCGAAATTATTTTTTTTTAAAACATACGATTTTCATTATTGAAATATAAACATAACCTCAAAATTACGTTCGATTTTTTCTGAAGCAAGAAAATAATTATTTTTTTTAATATTACCGATAATTTAGAATTAATAAAATATTTTACTTAATTGAAGAAAATATATTTTTTTAATTTAATAAATTATTTAAAAACAATAATAATAATAATACAATAATAAAATAATAATATTAATAAATAAATATCTTCAATAACGATATTAAAAAAAATTTATAATTATAAATATTTAATAATTAATCTATTATTATTAAATTATTATTATTATTATTATTATATGATTATATAATTATTATTATTATTATTATTATTATTATTATTATTATTAGGTATTTATAATAATATTATAATTATTATTATTATTTATAATTTAAAATTAATAAATTAAATAAATAAATTTATTCGGTTCTTTTGATTTTAACAGCGCATTTTCATAATTAAAATTCAGGTGTTTTTTTTGGAATTTTTTTTTTTAAATTAAAAATCTTATGGCGTTAAAATTTAGACCCTACAAAAAAAAAAGAAAAATTCTATTCGTATGTTGGTCTTTATTCCCAGCGCTGATTAAATATTAACTCTTGAGACGTGATTAATTTATAACTGACTAGTTTGAATGCCGGCTAGATTATATTATTTATCTTTCAGCCTTCAAATCATATAAATGAAGCCTTCGGTGTTAAAAAAAAAATTGAAAACTACAATTTTCTTTCTGGCCTTTAAGAAAATGAATAATTTAAAAAAATCTGTATAATTTGTTTAAAGAAACAAAAAAAAAAAAATTTTTTTAAATTTTATTTAAATATTTCAATAAATTAAAATTACCGAATAATAAATTAATAATATCTAATTATTTAATTAAATTAATTTTTTCTGAATTAAAAAAATATATAATACCTAGTAATAAATAAAAAATGATAATAAATAACAAATAAAAAAAATGATAATAAATAATAAATAAAAAAATTATAATAATAATTATAATAAATAAAAGAAATTAATAATTTTAGTAAAATAAAATTTTTTTTTTATTTTCAGGTGAAATACATCTCGGAGAATGGAGATGCAAAAATTGATCTTGGCACAGTTAAAGAAGTATTATCGGGAATGGGTAAAGAGGAATTGATGAAATTTGCAAATGATCCATTTTGGATTCGATTGCGTTGGTTTTTATTTATTGCATTTTGGGTATTGTGGGCGGCAATGTTGGCCGGTGCAGTTGCAATTATTGTTATTGCACCAAAATGTAATTCACCAGAACCATTAAAATGGTGGCAAGAGAGTCCAATTATTCATATTGATGATTTTGATACAACAACGCATAAATTAAAGGATATGCAGGGACTAATTTATCCATTGGAGAATCTTAATCTCAAAACAATTTCACTTGGCTCAATTCTTGAGACAGATGAAGATGGTAAAAAAAATTTTTTTTTTTTTCTTTACAAAAATTTCTATTATTTTTTTGAGTTTTTTATTAAATTCATTTTTTGCCATTTTTTTAAATTAATTTAAAGAGTAATTAACGATAATTAATTATTAATTATTAATTAAATATTGAGTTAAAATTTGAATTTTTTTTTTAGAAATTATTAATTTTTAATTATTTTTTTATTTTATTTTAGTTATTTTGTAAAAATTTGACTATTTTTATTCTAAATTATTTCGATAATTTTTGGTTACTTATAAAAAATTTTGTTTATTATTTTTTCCCAATTTTTTAAAAATTAAACTTTATTTTATTTCTAATCTTTTACCTATGAATTTTTTTTTTTTAAATATTTAAAGAAAGAGAACTTTTATCTTAATGAGTTTTCAATTTTTTTTTAATCTCTCACACATATTTTTAAATTCACTTAATAAATATACAAAAAAAATTTGTAAATTACAGAATATATAAAAATTGTTTTTTTTTTCAACAAAATTTTTTTTTTATTGAATTATTTTTATAATTTATAATTATTATTATTATTATTATTATTATTGTTGTTGTTGTTGTTGTTGTTGTAAATTATTATTTAATTAATGTAATTAATTAGTTTCGTATCATATTTTTTTTGTAATATTTAAATTCCAATAAAATAATTAATATGAAAATAAAATTAAAAAAGAAAAATTTTTTAAAATTATAAATTCATATAATTATTATTATTATTATTAAATTAATGTAATTAATTAGTTTCGTATCATATTTTTTTTGTAATATTTAAATTCCAATAAAATAATTAATATAAAAATAAAAATTAAAAAAGAAAAATTTTTTAAAATTATAAATTCATAATAATTATTATTATAATTACATTATAATTTATTAATAAAAAATGAAAAATTTCAATTTTTTTTGCAGGTCAAACGACAAATTTCCGTGGCATAAGAAGTAAATTAGGAACAATTGATGAATTAAAATTGTTCATTGAAGCCGCGGAATCAAAAGGAAAACATGTTATTCTTGAACTTGATCCAAATCATTCGTCTGTGGAGCACAAGTGGTTCAAGGAATCAATTGCAAGAAATGGAAATTACAGCGATTATTATATTTGGGCAAGTCCTAAAAATGAAAATGGCGTTCGAAGTCCTCCAAATAATTGGGTACATTTTTTTTCTCAAATATATATATATATATATATATATATATATATATATATATATATTTTTTAATATACTTATTTTGACGTATATTTTCTCTTTTTAATTATTTGTATTATAATTAAAATTTACTTTCAATTAATTGCTTTTGATTTTTTTTTTAATATTTTATTTTCTATTTTAAATTTGTAATTTATTTTTTTATTTCTAAAATTATTGCTTTTTGCAGTTAAGTATCTATGGCGATTCTGCGTGGGAGTGGAATGAAGAAAGGAAACAGTATTATCTTCATCAATTTGGTAGAAATCAACCTGATCTCAATTTTCATAATTCTGCTGTTGTTAAAGAATTTGAGGTATAAATTATTATTATTATTATTACTATTATTTATTAATTTATTTAAAAGAATTATTATTCTGTTTAATTAAATATGAAGGTGATAATAATTTAGATTTTGAAATTTTGCAGGAAATTCTCAAATATTGGTTAGAATTGGGCTTTAGTGGATTTAGACTTGGTAATACACAATTTTTAACTGAAGATCCAAATCTATTAGATGAAGAAGGTCCAAAAGGCATTCTTGGCACTTATGATTCAATAAATCATATAAAAACAAGAGAACGTATTGAAAATGGAATAATTTTACGTAAATGGCGTAATATTGTTCTCAATATGACAAACGGAGAGGGGTAATTGCAAAAAAAAACACAATATTTCAATTAATTTTTTTTAAATTATTATGTTTAAAGTACTAATTTAAATTGCAATTTTTTAATTAATTTTCTTTTCTATTCGTAATAAATTAAAAACTACTTTTTTTCTTAGTTTAAAGTTAAAAACCCAATTATATAAATATTTATTATTATTTGAATTTTTTAATAGTTTTTTACTTACACAATTTTTATTAGTTTATTAAATTAAAATAATAAAAATTGCATAATTTCAAAAAAAAAAAAAAAACTGTAATAATATGAATATTGTAATTTATTTTGCAGTCTGTTTACATTGCGTGATGACATAAGTCCAGATGTTTTGCAAGTATTCAATGATCATGTAACAAGCGGTGTGCTGATTGATTTGCCACAAAGTTCACAATTTTTAACAACAGCAAATATTGATCTTTCAGCAACAACATTGCATTCAAATATTTCGAAAATTCTTCAAATGTCCGAATGGCCAGCATGGGATGTAAGTTAAAAATGTTCTCAAAAATTTTATTTTTTCCTTATTTCAAAAAATAATTATTATAATTATTAATAAATATTTTTCGATATTGTTTTGTATAAATTAATAATTTATTTATATTGCTAAAAATTGTGTATAAATTTATTTATTTTTTTTTTGATTTCTCTTTGCAGATTAATGGAAAACTTCAGCCATTAAGATCGCGCGTTAAAGAACCAGTTGCTGAGAGTTTAACATTAATGGTATTACTTTTGCCAGGAACGCCAATTTTCAAATACAAGGATGTAATTTCAATTCGAGAACAATTCGATGAGGTGTCGAAAAAACGTGAAACAGAAGGTTTTAAATATGGTGAAACGAAAACTTACGTTATTAATAATACCGAAGTTTTCGCTTACACGAGGTATGTTTCTAATTTTTATTCTACTTTTATTTTTCAGTCATTTAAAAACGAAAATTATCACTTAAAAAATAATTTTCTATTAATTCTTAATCAGCTTTAAATTTTCTATAAAATAGTATTTTTTACATATTAATTATTCATACTTAGCATTTTTTAAAAGAAAAACCTTTAATTATTTGTAAATTGAACGCCTCTAATATAAAGAAAATTAAGATCAATTTCACAAAAGGAATTTGGTATTAAAGAACTATATATATAGAGAGAATATAAAATTAATGAGAAAATTACCATCGCATTTAAATTCTATTATAATAACTCAGAAGCTAAAGATTGCTTTTATCTTCTTTCACGCTTTATTGCCTGACAGGCACTGGTGAGTTATATCCGAAAATATGCTTAGAATTTATTTTTTATTAAATAGTTTTAAGAAAAAAAGAGATAGAAAAAAAAATTGTTTAATAACAAATAATTATCAATGGTATTTTTTAAATATAAACTTATTTTTTCTAGATAAAAAATAATTATTTATAAACCAAAATAATTAAATAAAATTAAAAAATTAATTAATTAATTATTAATTAAAATAATTATTTAGAAAATAAAATTTTTTTTTTTAAATAAAAGTAAAATTTTTTTTAGTTAAAAAAAATTTTAACACGATCAGAAAAGATAAATTATTGAATTTCAATTTTTATTTTTCAATTTTGAAAAATAAACTTCGCTTTTTTTTTTATTTATCTACTTATTTATTATTTCAGGCTAAAGAGCGGAAGTCCCGGTTATTTAGTGGCTTACAATAGTGAAAATAAAATGAGATTAGTTGATTTCACGTCCATTTCCGATATTGGAAATGAAGTCAAAGTGATTGTCAGGAGTCCAAATTCCGCGGAAGGCGGAATAGACACAACGTAAATATTATTTTTCCTTTTTTAATAATAATAATAATAATAATAATAATTTTGCTATATAGTAAAAAATTAAAAAAGAATATTTAAAAGAAAAGGAGAAAAACACTTTTTTAATTAAAAATAAGAAAATTTTTGAAAAATAAAATAATTACCAATTAAAAAGCAAATTGTTTGGAAAAAATTAAGAATTATTTTAATTAAAAATAGAAAATAAAATGTTTTTCTTCTCTTAATTATATAAATTACTTTTCTATTAAAAATTATTAGAAAATATTTTCTAATAAAATTTGATTGAAAACAATTTTTTAAGAAAATTATTCGAAAATATTTTCTAATAAAACTATTGGCAACAATTTTTTAATAAAATTATTTTTAAAAAAATAATAATAAAATAATGTAATAATAATAATAATAATATTATAATAAAATAAAAATTATTAGAAAATAATTTCTAATAAAATTAGAAAATAGTTTCTAATAAAATTAGAAAATAGTTTCTAATAAAATTAGAAATTATTTTCTAATAATCAAAATTAGAATTAGAAACTAAAGTAAATTTTTTATGAAAAAATTCTTTTTGAGAAAATTATTATTCTATATGGCAAAATAAATAATTTTTCTCTTTCATTTTTTCTTTGCAGAATCACAAAATTGAACGCAAATGCAGTTCCAATGGCTCCGAAGAGCACAATAGTCGTCAGTTTTGTTTCTCCAGAAGCAACGGCTTAAGTCTGAAAAAAAACACAAACACATACACACACACAAAAAAAAAAAGACAGGATAAAAAAAAACAACCAAGAGACAATAAAAACGAAAACTCATCAAACCAAATAAAAAAATTTTTAGAATTAATCGTGTTTTAAAAAAACGCATAAAAACCTATTTATTGCATTTATCTTTTTTACTTAATGATCATATTTTGATATTATATCTGTGAATCTTCTTTTTTTTTTTTTATTCACATTTTTTAAAAACCTATGTGAATAAATTGTAAATTTATTAATCTCGTCTTCTCGTTATACAATGTTGAGAAAAAGAAAAAAAAATGTATTAAAGGGCATTATAAATTAGTTTCTTTCGTTTTTATTTCTCTCCAAAAAAAAATTTCCTGAAAAAAAAAGAAATCGAAAAATTAGAATTGAAATAATTTTTAATTAATTAATAATATATCTTTCGTTTTTATTTCACACAGCAGAGAAATCTGAAAAATAATTCGAAAAACTAGAATTGAAATAGTTTTTAATGAATTAATAATATATCTTTCGTTTTTATTTCACACAGTAGAGAAATCTGAAAAATAATTCGAAAAATTAGAATTTAAATAGTTTTTAATTAATAATATTTCTTTTGTTTCTATTTTACAAAAAAAAATCTAAAAAATGAATCAAAAAATTAGAATTGCAATATTTTTTTTCCAATAAATTAATAAAATATAATATAGAATATTATTTATATAATATTTTAATATAAATAAAATGAAAATTATAATTAGAAACCGAAATAAATTTTATTAAATATTTTTTCGTGATAATTTAATTTTTTTGAGAAAATTATTATTCTATGTAAATAAAATTATATATTATACAATTATTAATGAAAAATTAACAAAAAATTTAAGTAGCAGCAACAAATAAGTTTTTTTTTTTTGTTACTCTTAGTAGGAAATTTTTTTCGTTTTATTAACAAACATAACATAATTGTTGTACTATATACAATTGTACAATATTTATATATACAAGAAATGGAACTCTTTTTTTTTTATTCGTTTGCAATGATAATAATAATAATAAAAAGTTCATTTCATCATTTCTCCTGAAGTCTATGTGGATCAGTAAACCTGGCAGTGAGAATGTAAAATAACGCTGGCAATGGAACTAAAATTAACATTGCCGGATGAAGTGTAATTCCATGAAGTGTTGCCGCTGACATTACACCATAGCCATGTAAAAGCCAATGGCCAACTATAACTATTATATTTTTCACATCCGAAACCGAACTGAAGATCAACGATTTCATTGTCTGGGAGAAGGAGAAAGACAAAATTTTTAATCAAAAACTTACACAATTTCGATTCATTCGAAAAAAAAAAAAAAAACAATTTTTCAATCAGAAAAAAATAATTGTTAATAACAAAAAAAATTCACATATTAAATAAATAAAATTAGAAAAAAAACGCTTTTTTTCAATTAGAAAAAAATAATTGTCATTACTAAAAAAAAATTTGCCTTAACAAAATTAATGCTAATAAAAAAAAAATTCCCTTTTGAAATTAAAAAAAAACAATGAAATTAAAATTGACTTTAAAACTTTTAAATCAAATTTTCTTTAATTTTTTTTTTTTTTTTAATTTATAGTTACAATTATTAAACCAAGTCCACTTCTGGGCCGAAAGGCTGAAGCTTAATTAATAAATAATAATAATAATAATAATAGTTACAATTATTATTAAATTAGAATTTACCAAAAAGTCTTAAGTCAAATTAAGTTCCTTTAATATAATTAAATAAAAATAAATAAATAAAATTTGCCTAAAAAAATTAATGAATTAAATAATTTGAAATTAAATAGAGAAAAAAAATTATTATAAATTTATTCTACTATAATTAACAAATTATTACTATTTATTTACAACGAGGTAGGAAATTATTGAAAATTTTTGTTTATAAAAAATTATTTATTTTAATTAATAATAAAAAAACGTATTTTTAACTGCAATTTTATTTTTTCGAACCGGGAGAATTTTTTCCCAAATAAACGAAAATTTTGAAAATTAATCAGCAAATAAAATTCAATAATTTGGTATTTTCAATTATTTTTAAATTTTCTTTAAAAAAATCTGTTATTTCATAAAATTTGAATTATATTCCAATTAATAAATTTGAAAGAATTAATTATTGTTTATTAAAAATTACAAAAAAAAAGTGAAATTAACCAATTTTCCAAATTAATTAAATTTTAAAAATAATTTAATTGTACCAATTAAATTTTTTAAATAAGGTACTTTTTTTCTAGAAAATAAAATTTAATAATAAAAAATTTTTTAATTGAATTTTTAAAAGCAATTTCAATGTTAATAAATTAAATTTTTAATTTTTAAAATTAAAAGAATAATAAATAAAAATTTTTTAAAATAATTATTATAAATAAAGTAATAAAAAAATTTACAAATAAAGTAATAATTATTTAATACACAAATAAATAATAGATTATAATCTATATTAAAAAAGAATAAAATAAAGAATTTACAAATATTTGTACAATTCGTTACTTGATTAACGAATTATTTTGAATAAAATAAATTTTTTTCAATATAATATATATTAATTATATATTAAATATTGTGTATTTTGATTTACCTGATTTAGTTTGAAAGCAAAATGCGCCGCGTTTGAGAGAGCAGACAACACAATTGTGATATATGGAAACGAATGATCTGTAAATATATATATATTTTTTTTTTTGTTTATTAAAAAATAAAATCAATAAATGAAGAAAAATTAAATATTTTAAAAAAAATAGGGGAAAAAAATATTAATTAATTTTAAAATAACAATAAACTTACATATAAGTCCACCTCCAATTGCATGAAATAATGCAAAAATTGGAAAAAAATATAATGCCGCGTAAATTGAAAATTTTCCCTGTTTTGGTAGAAATTTTCTCGCTATCAACGGCCTTAGTAGAAGCATTATTAAAATTCCAAATGCATAAAATATAAACACCATTGTATATCTGAGAAAAAACAAAAAAAAAAGGTAATTTTTTATAATCAAACAAAAAAAAAAAACAAACAAAAAATAACTAAATTTTTTTTTTAGTAAAAATTTTATCATATTATTACGTTGGTGAAGTTTTTTCTTTACTTTTTATCTTCTCAGGCCTCGGATTGACTTTAAGGCACAAGAAAAGTCATTTTTGTCGATTTTTTCAATTTTAACAAAATTTAATTGGTTAATAAATATTTTATTTTAAATAACTAATGTTATTAGATATTAAATTCATTTTATTAATTCTGTAATAAGAATAATTCTATAAGAACCTTATTAAGAATTATTAAAAATAATTGAATATCAAAAGATTTTGTTAATTTTCAGAGAATAATTAAATTTTACAGAACTAAAAATAATTTATGTTTTGAAAAAAAAATGATTTCACATAGTTGAATTTTCAAAAAATTGAATTTCAATTTATATTGAATTGAAATTTTGGAAAATAATTGAATTTTAGTTGATTTTAAATTGAAATTTTGGAAAACAATTGAAATTAGTTGATTTTAAATTGAAAATTTTTAAAATAATTAAATTTCAAATAAAATTTTGGAAAATAATTGTATTTTAGTTAAATTTTAGTTGATTTTGAATTTAAATTTTTGAAAAAAATTGAATTTTAATTAATTCAGAATTTAAAATTGTGAAAATAATTGAATTTTAATTAATTTGGAATTGAAAATTTTGAAAATAATTGAATTTTAATTGAAATTTTTTAAAATAATTGAATTTTAGTTTATTTTGAATTGAAATTTTTGAAAAACAATTGAAATGTAGTTAAATTTTAGTTGATTTTGAATTTAAATTTGGGAAATAATTGAATGTTAGTTTATTTTGAATTGAAATTTTTTGAAAAAAATTGAATTTTAATTAATTCAGAATTTAAAATTTTGGAAATAATTGAATTTTAATTAATTTGGAATTGAAAATTTTGAAAATAATTGAATTTAATTGAAATTTTTTGCAAATAATTAAATTTCAAGTGATTTTGAATTAAAAATTTTTTTTGATAATTTTATTTGCCAATTTTTCTTAAAATTATAAACAATTATTAAATTTCATATAAATTTTAATTGAAAAATAGTTGTAGATAATATTGAATTTGTGATAAATTTCATTAAAATTATAAAAAAAAAATTAATTTAATGAGGAATTTTAGTTCTAAAATTTGTTAAATAATTGAAATTAAGAAGAATTTTAAAGAAGATCTGCACTTAAAAAAAAAAAAAACGTATTTTGTTAAAAAAAATTTTTTTTTTTTTAAATGTAAAAAAAGTCGAAAAAGTCCCATTTTATTAAAATAAGTCGATAAATGTCGTATATTTGAAAAAAAAAGTCGGAAAAAGTCGTATAATCCGAGGCCTTGACAGTCTTCTAAATCGTTGATTATAATTATTATTGATCAACGATTCAGAAAAGTAAAATAATTTCAAATACAAATTATTATAATTTTTTGAGTGAAAAAATTTTTTGCAACCTTTTTTTTTTTAATGAACAAAATTTTTAAAAGAACAATTTTTAGGGGAAAAAAATATTTTATTTTCTACGTGGAAAATTATTTTGTTTATTTTTAATCGTTTTTAACTTCATCGACGTTATTTATTTATTATTATTATTATTATTATTATTATTATTATCTATTATTATTATTATTATCTATTATTATCAATTATTATTATTACACCAAAAATAGTGTTTTTTTTTATTTTTAAAAATTATTTTTTCTAATAATCAAATTAATACGTAATTTTATTAAAGAATTTAATGAATTCATTAATAAAATTTAATTTCAAAAGTCGAGTTTTTAATTTTAATAAATAAATAAAATTAAAATGGCACAAATGAAAAATATAATTTTGAAGAAAAATGAAATATTTTAAATTAATATTTCTTAGATTTGAAAAAAATTCGATATATTATAATCGAGATAAAAATAAATAATTTGCAATTTTTACTCTATTTTTTTTTTTAATAATAAAGAATAAAATTTATTTCTTCGTTTTACACTTGAAGTTTTACTATTTATATTATTTCCCATCAATTCCCCTCTATTTTTTTTAACAATTAAATTGTTTATTATATAAAGTCAAAAACAAGTTATTATTGTAATTTATACATTATTTTCTAATATTTAATTTTAATTTAATTACTATTATTATTATTATTATTATTATTACCTACTATTATTATTTTTGTTATTATTATTATTATTATTATTTACTATTATTATTTTTGTTCTTAATATTATTATTATTGCCTACTATTATTATTATTATTATTATTATCTACTATTATTATTTTTGTTATTAATATTATTATTATTATTATTATTATTATTATTATTGCCTACTATTATTATTTTTGTTATTATTATTATTATAAAATAAAAACGTGCTTACAGTGGATAAACCGCCTCCTGTGTACAGTGAAGAGTTTTTTCATAATTTGGCGTTGGATTGTGCAACAATGTATACCAATCGGATAATTTTTGTGTTCGACACGAACGAATATTAAATGATCCAATTGGATCAATTAATTGTAATGTAATAATTGATGCTGTAATTATTTCAATAATTGCCGAACAATGTAATGCAATAACTTCTTTTGGTATATTACGTCTCATTGCAACCATATCAATACAAAACCAATGTAAAACAAGTGCAAATATTGCAATAAAACCAAGATAAAGCCAATCATAAAAGACTGGTGTATCCTCACATGGAACGCATGCCGATGATAAATTTGTCCTATAACCACGGGGACACGCACCACAATCACTCCAATTGCCATCGATAAATAATTCACGACCACAATAAATACCCGGACAACGCATTAAGACACTCATTTCTTTATTTTTTTTTATAGATTTTCACACGAACACTTTTCTTCTTCTTTTTTTTTTCGTCATAAACAAAAAAATTTGTAAAGAACAAAAAAAATGATAATAACTTTTTTTATGTCATTTATAATTTTTCATTGTATTTTGAAAAATTATTTTTCAAAAGTATTTTTTTTTTTTTTCCCCCGAAAAAAAAGAGAGAAATGCTACATAATATTGGAAAATAATAATTTGAAAGAAAAATTCTCATGACGTTTGAGGTTAGGTTTTACTTTGAGAGACATTTTTTTTTAAAGAAACGATTTTCACTGATTCGCGGAAAAGAATTTTGGTTATTATTAAACTGAATACTTTGACGGTGAATGAAAATTAATTGTTTAAATGTGAGAATTTATTTTGATTTCGTCATTTTTAGTGATTTTTGACAGTTCACACACACACACAGTTTTGTCTCAAAACACATACACAGGAGTTAATGCGCATTCCGTTCGCGCAGATTCACTCCTGCGCATTGCGCGGGAATATTATTTAAATTTGAAAAAAAGTGAAATACAAAAAAAATAAAAAAAAATAAATAACAAGTGAATTATATTCTGACGACAGTTTTTGTTCCTTTTCTCAAATTTTAGATATTCTAACTGGATACTTTTTTTTTTTTTTTTTTAATGAAAATTGTATAAAAATAAAAAAAAATGCTCAAAAATCGCGATTTTAATTTATAATTCTCATAATGTAAATGGATAATTTTGCAGCTTTCATTGCAGGATGGGGTGCTGGTGAGAAAAAAATTTAAATATTTTTTTCATAAGATGTAATCATTTTTGTAAAATTTTTTGTTGCTTTTCTGATACGAACCTAACCTAAAAAATTTATTGTTTACATCGCGCATAACTTGCGATCCATGCGCGATTCAAAAAATGACTTTTTTTAAACATTTTTTTAACTCTATTATTAGGTATTTTTGGTGTAATAGTTGGCCATCCAATGGATACGATTAAAACAGAGCAGCAAATGAGTTTATATCAACGTTTATCAGTAAAAGAAAGTGTCAAAATTATTGTCGCAAAAAATGGAGTAAGTTTTTTATTTTCAAATTTATACTTTTAATTCTTTGAATAAAGCCTTATTGTTAATCATATTTCGATAATAATAATAATAATAATAATAATAATAACAAACGGAAATATTTAAAAAAAATAAAAATTTTAACCTCAAAATTATAAAAATCGAATTTTTTCTTATTTCGTTTCGATAAAATTTCGATTTTGAGGTTAAATTATTAGATAAAAAATTGTTTGCAATTTGAAAATTGTTAAAAATTATTGGAATTAAATTTAAATAAAGAAATTTCTTTTGAAAAGAAAAGAAAATTTTTAAATGAAAATTTTGTTATGAAAATTAAAAAAAGAATTAATAGAATTTGAAAAATTTAGATCTCAGGCCTGTATAAAGGAATGTATTTCCCCTTGATGTCATCAGGAATTTTAAATGCCGTTTTTTTTGGTGTCTATGCAATTTGTTTAAATTCATTACAAAATAAACGCGGTAACAATTCAAATAATATTCTTCCAACAAATAATGGTTATTATTATGATAATTTTCTATCCGGTTCTATTGGTGGATTAGCGCAAAGTTTCATTTCATGTCCCAGTGAACTTATTAAAATTAGAATTCAAACTGGAAAAGGTATTTTTTTTCCAATTTTTTAAATTATTTTATTATTATTATTTGAATTTTTATTTTTACCAATTAATTAATATTTTAATTACAATTTTTTTTATAATTATTAATAATATAACAATAATTAATTAATAATTTATTATTAATTAATAATTTATTATTAATAATATAAACAATAATTATTAAATAATTTATTATTAATAATATAACAATAATTATTTAATAATTTATTATTAATTAATTAACAACTGAATGTTAATAATAAATAAATTATTAAATATTTCAAAAAAATTAATAAATTTAAAAAATAAAAAATTCTTTTGTTATTTTATTAATAAATTAATAAACAAATAAAAATTAAAATAAATATTTAAAAATTAATTTAAATAAAATACAATTTAAAAATTATTTAAAAATGACTATTTTTTTTGGAAAAAAAATAAAGGCAAAAACAAAATGAAATTACATGAAAATAATGAGAGAAAAAAAAGTAGTACTTATCTTACGAGTCGTGATGTTTATCAAAAATATGGAATTAGTGGCTTTTTTATCGGTGCTGTACCGACAATTTGGAGGTAACGCCTTTATTTTTGTATTACTCTTCTCTTTTTTTCTAAAAATTATAATAAATAATTAATAATAATTTTTATTCTCTATTTTTTCAAAAAAAAAAAAATAAAAAAAAAAGAAAATTTATTTTATTATTTTCCAAATAAAATCAGGGACATTATTTCCAATTCAATTTATATGGTGAGTTATCAATATTTTCGTTACAATTTAAATGGTGAAGAAAATTTGAAACCGGGAAATTTGGAAATTCTTGTCGCCGGTGGAATTGCAGGTGAAAAAAAAAATTTTTTTTCTTGGAAAAATTACAAATTTAATAATAAATATTAAATTAATTCATCAATTAAATTCAAAAAAAAATTTTTTTTGTTTTTTTGAAAATTAAAATTTTCATTGAACTAAATTATTATTAAAATGGAAAAATAAAATTTAATTTTTCTTTTTATTAAAATGGAAAAATAAAATTTTCCCTTTTTTGTACTAAAATGGAAAAATAAAATTTTGCCTTTTTTTACTAAAATGGAAAAATAAAATTTTGCCTTTTTTTTACTAAAATGGAAAAATAAAATTTTCTTTTTATTAAAATGGAAAAATAAAATTTTCCCTTTTTTGTACTAAAATAGAAAAATAAAATTTTGCCTTTTTTTTTACTAAAATGGAAAAATAAAATTTTCTTTTTCTTTTTATTAAAATGGAAAAATAAAATTTTCCCTTTTTTGTACTAAAATGGAAAAATAAAATTTTGCCTTTTTTGTACTAAAATGGAAAATTTTTTTTTTCTTTTTATTAAAATGGAAAAATAAAATTTTCTTTTTCTTTTTATTAAAATGGAAAAATAAAATTTTCTTTTCCTTTTTCTTTTTATTAAAATGGAAAAATAAAATTTTGCCTTTTTTGTACTAAAATGGAAAATTTTTTTTTTCTTTTTATTAAAATGGAAAAATAAAATTTTCTTTTTCTTTTTATTAAAATGGAAAAATAAAATTTTCTTTTCCTTTTTCTTTTTATTAAAATGGAAAAATAAAATTTTGCCTTTTTTGTACTAAAATTGAAAAATAAAATTTTCTTTTCCTTTTTCTTTTTATTAAAATGGAAAAATAAAATTTTGCCTTTTTTGTACTAAAATTGAAAAATAAAATTTTCTTTTCCTTTTTCTTTTTATTAAAATGGAAAAATAAAATTTTGCCTTTTTTGTACTAAAATTGAAAAATAAAATTTTCTTTTCCTTTTTCTTTTTATTAAAATGGAAAAATAAAATTTTCTTTTTCTTTTTATTAAAATGGAAAAATAAAATTTTCTTTATTTCTTTTTTTTTTTTTTTTTTGATTAAAATGGAAAAAAAAATAAAAATCTAGGTGTTTTGTCTTGGTTGCCGGTAATTCCATTTGATACTGTCAAATCGAGAATTCAAGCCGATGAATTTCATAATCGTCAATACAAAGGAATGATTGATTGTTGTTATCGTTTATATAAAAATGAAGGTATTCATGGCTTTTTTAAAGGAACAACGATGATTACTCTTCGTTCGATTCCCGTTAATGCTGCTATTTTTTATGGCTATCATCTTCTCATGAAAATTCTCGTTCCCCACATTCATCACTGAAAAAAAACTACAAAAACAAAAAAGAAAAATCAATTCATTATCCTTGTGTTTCTGTTTTTTTTTTCGCTCATTGTATTTGTGACTGCAAATCTATAATAGAGAAAAAAAATCACATTAAACAGAAAAAAAATCATCTTCTTTTTTTTTCTATAATTAAATAATTTTTATCAAACAAATAGAAATTGAAAAAAATGTTATTTTTTGAAATGAAATTGTTATGTAAAATAATATTGAGAAAATTCAATTCAATTTTCAAAAAAGGAGAATTTTCTCATTTTTTTTATTAAATAATAATTTAATATTAATTTTATACATACATAATTTAATATTAATTTATTATTTAATAATTCGGTATTAATTTATTATTAAATAATTCGGTTTTAATTTCTTATTCAATAATTTAATATTTTTTTAAATAAATATTAATATTCCAATTAATAAATATTAATAAATATAATTATTTTATTTTTTTTCTTTGTAACATAAAATTATTATTCACTTTCCAAAAAGAATTTTTTCAAACATTTTTTTCTTAAGAAATAATTTAATATTAATTTAATTTTTGTTTAATTAAATATTAATTTTCGATTAATAAATATTAATTAATTAATATTTTGTTTTTTCCAAAAATACGTTTACTTGTAAATAAATAAATATTAATTAATATTTACTTATTTATTGTACGAAACTTGATCGTATTTATTATTTAATATATTTTCTTTTTTATTTGTACCTAAAAATTTTAAATTAATTAAAAAAATAATCGTCCGTATTAATTAAATATTAATTATTATTCTTAATAAATTTTTAATTTATAATTTATAAACTCAATAATTTTTACAAAAAAAAAAAAGAAAGTATTTGTTTTTTTTTCATAAATTTTTGCAAAAACTTGAATATTTGAAAAATTTTACCAAAACATTCATTTATTGTTTCAAAAATTATTTGGGGACATGTCCCGTTATGTTCCAAATAAATAAATAAATAAATAAATTATTTTTAATGTAAAAAATTTAACAGCTTTTTGCAAAAAAAAAACAAATTTTTAAAGTTGGAAATTTTTTCTTCAATGTTTTTTTGCAATTTAATAATTTAATAAAATAAATTTTTTTTTAAATTTACAAAATAAGAATGTTTTATGACTATTTTGACGAAAAAAATTGGATCCATTATATCAAATTCCACTGTATTTTATTATTATAATTATTATTTTTTTTTTTAATCCTTTGTACAGCGAGCTCTTGCAAGTGGAGAGTAACCATTTTTTTTTTTTTTTTGCTCTTAATTTCTTATTATAAACTAGTTGGTAAAATGGTAAAATTATAAATATATTCATTTTTATTTATTATAATTACATATATAATATATAGTTTATATATTATTTTTTTTCACTTTTATAATTATATATGCGTTATATATTTTATATATATAATTATAATAATATTGTGTAAAACAATCGAATTTTTTTTTTCGAATACGCCTATTTTTTTTTTTTTTTCTTAAGATTTGTACGCGAGTAAGCAATATTTTTTTTCCATTCTTTTTTTTTTCATTTATTTAAATATATATTTATATATATATATATATATATTACTGAAAAGGGAAAAGAATCACAGAATGAAAAAGAAAATTTCAACATTCACGTGTTATTATTATTATTATTATTATTTATATTATGTATATTATAAAAAATGTCTATTTTGGGAGAGCGAGTCAACATCTCTATTATTATTATTTAAATATTTTTTTTTTTCGTGGATGTGACGCAGGCAACTACGAGGCAAAAATTATTCCAAGTTTTACATTATTATTTATTTATTATTTATTTATTTATTATTATTAATTATTAGGTATTTATTATTATTACAAAAAGAAGGAGGGGGGGGGAGAATTTTTTCTTAAAAAAAAAACAAGTGGATATAGAAAAAAACAGAAGTAATGATATTATGCGATTTTTATGTTTCGGCAATCGAGACGGATGTTTCTTTTTTTAACTAGGTCTCTATTTTTTTTTATTTTTAATATTATCTTTAACTCTTGTGTTCGAAATAATTGAAAATGCACTTTTTTTTTAATTTTATAAAATAATTATTAATTAATTATTTTCTAATTTTTTTTTGTTTTACAATTCATTTTTGTTCATCTTTCAAAAAAAATTTTATTCCTTTTAAAATAGATAAAATATTTCTTTTCTTTTAGTAAAATTTATTTAACTGAAAGTAATTAAATAATTTTCTATAATAAATTCTAAATTTATAACTTTAACTAAAAGGGAAAAAATTTTTTTTTTCAAATATTTGAAACGTAATAATTTCTATAACTAATATATATATATATTTTTTTTTCAAACGTCATTTATATTTTCTAATTCTTAATTTTCTAAAATAATTTTCCTTTTCTTTCTAAATTTTGTAAATTTCAAATTTATAACTGACATTCGAATTTTTTAAAGACGAAAAACTTAAATATTTTTTTTTTTTAACACTAGAGTATATAAAAAATTCCCATTATATATAATTAACTGTACAATAATTTTTTTTTTTTTGTAAATTAAACATTTAAAAAGTATTTTACAAACTTGGAAATTTTTTCCTTTTTTTAAAACATTTTAATGAAATTTTTTCAAAATTTACAATATTCTTTTTTTAATTAACATAAATAAAACGAATAGTAAATTATTTGGCAAAGAAAGAAAATAATTTTATAAATAAATTGTTGTAAATTATTAAAACTTATTAAATTTTTTAAAAAATTATTTTTAAAATTATTTTTAAAAAATTTTAATTCTAATTATTAAAATTTACAAAATCCTAATTTTTAAAAACTTAAGAATAAATTCTTAATAAAATAATTTACTATTTAAATTTATTTATGAGAAAGCAATTTATAAATTCGAAAAAATTGTAAAAATTTTCAAAAATTTATAAAATTCTAATTCTAATAATTAAAATCATAATAAATTATTAAAATTTATAAATAAATTTTTAATTTAATTTACTACGTAAATTTATTTATCAGATTTTTTTTTAATTCAGAAAAAATTTTCTATAAATTTCCCCTCAAAAAAAAAAAAAATGCATTTTCATTATTTCGAAAACACTAATTCTTATTTATTTCTCTTAGATAAAACTTTTTAGTTTCATCGAGTAACTTTTTTTTAATTCTTTATTTTAAACCCTATTTCATTATGCATCGGTTAGAAAAGTCTTTTATTTTTTTTTTATATAATTTTACTCTGTTTTTTCGTCGTTTGAAAAAAAAAATCGAATTCAATTTTAATTTCTTTCATTTGTAAGTTTTTTGTTTCATTTTTTTTTTTCTTTTTATTTTGAGAAAAAGAGGAGCACAGCTCCAATAAATCTGACGCGTTAGATCTCTATTATTTATTTTCATGTATATTTTTTATAATAAGCAACCATGGATATTTTTTTTGGGTACAATTGAATTTCTTTCTTTTTTTTTATTTTTATTTTTTTTTTATTGTAATTATTCTTTGTCCCTCTTGTCATATCATTTATTCATCTTAAATTGCGTCTCTTTCTCTCTCGCACACTTACAATTTTTCTTTTTTTAGAAAAAAAAAAAAAAAAAAATTCTCTCATTCTCTCGCGATTTTGAATTCGTTTTTTACTTTTATAATTTTTTTTATAATCCGTTTTTCGCGCACGATTTTCATTGCAGGATTTTTGGGAGGAAAAGAAAAAAAAATTGTCAATCTGCAGATATAAATGCAGAAATATTTTTTTAACGGTTTTTTTTGGAGACAATTTTTTTTTTTGTTTTTTTCGCGCGCGCGCTTATTTTCTATGACTCCTCTCTCGCTTTACTATATTTTTTGTATACTATATTTTTTTTTATATAATATATATAAATATATACATATATATATATATATATATATACATAAATATATATTTATATATGCAATATTTATATTTATATAATATATACATTTATATTTATATATATATTTATATACTATATATATAAGATCGTCACTATCAAATTTCTCGGGTGGAAAAAAAGGGGTCGGAGGGAAAAAGAGAAAAGGAAAAAAAAAAAAAAAAAAAAAACCATCGAGAAATCTATAGAAGAACGTCCTGTATATTCATATTTATTTATATTTATATTTTTTTTTTTGCCATTTATATATAAATATATATATAAATATGATGTATTTTTATATTTTACCTAATTTTATTATGTTCTTTATTTATTTATTTTTTTTCTGTTATATTTATCGTTAATAATAATAATAATATATGAATATATGGTACATTTTTCAAACAACGTGTCTCCCATTTGGAAAAAAAAGAAAATTTTCCCTTCGTCGAAAGGCAGAAAAACATTTTTTTTAACTCTTCTTTTCTGTCATTTTTTTTCGCCACTGATCGAATGGCAAAAAATTTTTTTTTTTTTACTTCAAAGAAAGAAAGAAAAGAAAACATTTTTCTTCTTATAATAATAATAATAATATTTTTTTTTTTTACACTGAATCATGCAAATTGATATTGCCGTCAAAAAAAAAAAAAAGAGAATAAAAATTGTACAATAGGTCTTTTATTATTTAATAGAAAAAAAAAATTAAAAATCCCATTTTTGAGAAGTAAAAGATTTTTTTCGCGATTTTTCCGTTTTTTTTGGGGGGGGGGGGAGGGGCAAGTGGGGAATTTTTTCTTTCTCTCTTTTTCATTTTTACTTTCGGTTTCTTTCATTCTAATTTTCCGATTTTCTCATTTTCTCACTTTTTTTTCTTTCATTCACACACACACACTCTCTCTCTCTGTCGCTCCATAAAGTTGATCAAATTGCTTTTTGTCCAGTATTATGAAGAGGACAAGATCAACTAAGGAGTTTTTTTTTTCTTTTAATTATTATTATTATTATTATTAATATTAATATTATTATTATTATTATTATTATTACGTCAAGACAAGCCACCGTGAGATAATTCTGGTTCTCTTCTAACAACGACAATTTTTTTTTTTTGTTTTTTTTTTTGTTTTTTTTTTTAATTATATTTTTTTTTTTTTATTTCCTCGACGTAAACTAAGATCTAACGACTGGGTGACATGATTGTGATTTCTCGCCTGTAAACAAACAGAAAAAGAAAGAAACTATCAAAATTAGGATTAAATATTAAATTTGTCGAATTGATTTTTATTTTAATTAAATTAAATTATTTTTTTCTAATAATTTTTTTTGTTTGTTTAACACACAAAAAAAAACATTCAACTAATTTTGAAAAATTAGACATAATATTTATAAAATTAGAGCTAATATAACATTATATAATATAATAATAGTAAAAATTTTCTTAAAAAGAAAAAAAAAACAAAATTTAATTTTTATAAAAATGCAAATTAATAAAATTCTATTAAATATAAAAACTGGTAAATAAATAGAAATTTTATTTTTATAAAAATTGATATTATATTATAATTATAAAAAATTCTACTAAATACAAAAATTCTGTTAAAAATAGAAATTTCTTTTAAAATAAAAATCCAAATTAATGAAATACTATTAAATATATAAAAATTCTGTTTAAAAAAAAAAAAGAAATTTCATTTTTTTTAAAAAACTACAAATTAATAAAATTCTATTTTCTATTAAATATAAAAATTAATAAAATTCTATTTTCTATTAAATATAGAAATTAATAAAATTCTATTTTCTATTAAATATAAAAGTTAATAAAATTTTATTTTCTATTAAATATAGAAATTAATAAAATTCTATTTTCTATTAAATATAAAAATTAATAAAATTCTATTAAATATAAAAATTTAGTTAAAAAACAGAAATTTCGTTTAAATAAAAATTCAGTTAATATAATTTTTTGTAATATAAATTTTTTTCTAACGGATATTATTTCCTATTTTTCAATTACTCGTTTCCGATTTAGTTTTTAAAAAGATAAAAAAAAAACTGTTCTTGAATGAAAGAGAGAAAAAAAAAAAAGAAAAATCTTACTAGCTCAGGGTCGGGCTCGTGTTGCAGGTGCAGTTGAAACAGGAACAGAATTATTTGGAGCCGCCATTATTGCACCGCGCCGTTCAAGTTCCAGTTCATTTAATCTTTTCCAAAGTTCGTCTCTCTCCTTCTCTCGTTTCTTTTCTCTGCAATTTTGTCATTTTTTTTTTGTTTTTTTTTGTCTTTCTTTTTTAATACAAACAATTAAAATTTTTTAAATTAATTCTTTCTATCATCAATTTAATAAAATTTTGAAAATAGTTTTTTTTCAAATTTTATTAATATTTATAACAATTCAAATAAATAATTTTGATAATTAATTATTAATCAAGGAAAATTTAAAGAATTTAAAAAACCAAAATTTCGTTCAAAAACCGAAAGAAGTGGACTACTAATAAATAATAATAAAAAAATAAATATACAAATAAATAAACACAGTAAAGATAAATAAAAAATAATTAAAAGGCAATGATAATAAAATAAGAATTAAAAACAATAAATATTAATAATTAATTTTAATTAAAATACTTGGAAATAAAAAAAATTTTAATCCAAAATTTTTAGTTGACTAATTTATAAAAAAAATAGAAACTAAGCAAAAGATTTAAAAAAAAATTTAAATTTAAAACAGAAAAAGATTTATTTTTTTGAAAATTGTAAAAAAAAAAAAGAAAAGTTTCTTACTTTTGCCTCTCTGATTTGTAGGTGGCAGTAAGTTCGTCAAACAATTTGCTGTTCATTTCCATAAATGTTTTGAGAACATTGTAAACGAGGGCCACAATCGTTTGGTTCCAATGTTCTTTACTAATTCTGTACAATGCAGGGAACATAATTCCCATTATAACGAGATTATTTTCCTCGATTAGTGACATAATATACTCATTATTCCACAAGTACAATGCTCTCTCAGCAACCTGAAAATAATTTCTTTTTAACATTTTCATTTGCAAAAAAAAAAATGGTCAACGATGACTTGGAAAAATAATAAATAAATTTTTCTATATGCTTTCTTCAATATTTTTACTACTAAAATAATTTATTATTAATAGTTTTGAAATTTTTTTCCTATTACTATTTTCTATTTTTTTTCTATTTATTAATAGAATATTAAAATAATTATTTTTTATTATCTTTTCTACTATTGGAAAAATACGTTTATGATCAAAACAATTAAGAAAAACTATTTTATTTCGCAGTTAATAAATTTTAAAAGAAAAAAATTTTTTTATTTCTATTTCTCTCAAAAATTACTTTTTCTATTTTATATTTTCTCTAATCATTGATAAATATTGTTAACTACACCAGAGTGAAAAAAAAATTAAGAAATATATTAATTTTCATTTTTTAAAAATAGATTTTAAAAATGAAAAACAGTGTTTTCGAAAAAAGGGAAAATTAATTTTTGAAAACCTAGTAAAAAGAAGAAAAAAATCAATTGCAGAAAATAAAATATAGAAATAAATTTAAAAAAAGAAAAAAAAAGTAGAAATAAAATTAAAAAAAGAAAAAAAGTGCGTTAATTTTTTCATTATATCTTTTATATTTCTATATTTCAAGGGTTCTTTTAAAACCCGTGTATTTAAATAAATAAATAAATAAATAAATAAAAGAAAATAAAATAGAAATAAATTTAAAAAAAGAAAAAAAAAGTAGAAATAAAATTAAAAAAAGAAAAAAAGAAAATAAAATAGAAATAAATTTAAAAAAAGAAAAAAAAAGTAGAAATAAAATTGAAAAATGTAAAAAGAAAAAAAACGGTAATTTATTGATTTTTTTTTAAATAACAAATTCTAATAAAAAAAATTTAAAAGAAAATTAGGTAAATTTTCAAAATAGAGAATTTTTTTGTTCATGAATATAAATAACGTGCTCATTTTATTGATATAGAGAATGGATAAAATTAGAAGCAATCAACTATAAAATATGATCGTAAAGAAATCAACTTGGCACAATTGATTTTATGCAAAACAATTGACAAACGTAGTAAGTGAATTTAATTCAGAATATATATATTCGAAATATCGAAACAGACATTGTCCTACTTACATATTGCTATTTATTTTCCCCAAACATTAATTTAACAGTTCACAAGACGAAAATGACAGAAATTAGTAACGTTTATAAATAATATTCTCCAATCATTATCGATTTCAAAAAAAAAAGAAACGTAAAACAAACCCCAACAAAATATAAAATTTACCAAAAACAATATTACTTTTTCGTCTCTTGTAGAAAAATTAGATTTTTTTTGTTATTATTGAATAGAATTGTTAAAAAATTGTTAAAAAATTGTTAAAAAATTGTTTAATTTTTTGTTAGGATTAAAAATTTTTTTGTCAATTTACCTGAAAATGAGGTGACGAAACACAACGTGCAATTTGCCTAAAAAGAGGCTCCTGTATTGTAGCAAATTGGCTAGGTTCTATGACATCGAGTATCTCCTCAATTTCTCCCAAGAACATGACTTCTTTCTGGCTGCATGTCTTAGGCCAGAATTTCAGAAGACCTCGAATCACTGGCTCCGTTAGTGTTGCGTCTTTTTCCAGAAATTGCACCACACAATACGCAAGCTGTGCATGATAAAGTGACAAACACTTCACCTTATGTAGAGGTAAAAGCACCTGAAATTTCAATTAATTCATTTTTTTTTCACTTATTTCACTTCTCTTCATTTTTAATTTCTTTTTATTTATTATTTTTTTTCCAATTTATTCAATTTTATATAATTATTAAATTCTATTTCTTTTTTTAATTTTTCTTTTCATTTTTTTATTTAGAAATTTACTTACAATTTATTTTTTATTCAGAAAATTTACTTGGAATTATTTCTACTTATTTAATATTTAGAAAATTTGTTAAGAGTTTTTTTTTTGAAATTTAATTAGAATTTGTTTATTTACTTTTATAATAATTAATTGAATAAATTTATAATCTATAATAATAATAATAATAATTTAACGTTTGGAAATTAGAATTTTTTTTTAATTTGTAATTTTAAATTCGATTTTTAATTTTCTCAATAAACAAAATGAATTTCAAAAATCGATGAATAGCAAAAATTAAATAAGTATCACAATGACAAAAATATATCAATAAATATATTTCCAATACAAGAATCGCTACTTGAACTTAATAACTTATCTTATCACGCGGGAAACATTATTAACTTACACTCATAATTTAAACATTCAACTTATCTTTGTTGTATATTTCAAACATTCTTTTTCTCTCTCTCTCTCTCTTTCTATCCCTTTTTTTAAAAAAAATTAATTTTCGAAATAATTATTATAGAAACATTGAACTAATTATTTATATTAAACAGTGAAATTTTTTTTACTTTTTGCAAAATAATTTATTTACCAAAAATTGAAAATTAGAAATTAATTTTACATTTTGTTTTTTGAAATATTTGGCTTTTTTATTTATTTATTTGTTTGTAATTTACGAAAAATGTTTTTTTTTTCTTTTTTTTTTGTAATTTTTATTTTTATTCCCAGCTTTCAAAACATGTTTCCATAATTTTTGAAACTTTTTCAAAGTTAAACTTGCAAAAATTTTTAACAATTGAGTTCAATTTTCTATTTTCAATTTCTCAATTACTAATTACTGAAAGTAAAAATAAAAAAGTAAAATAAAGCAATACCTTAACTAAGAATTGTTTGTGTTCGACTTTCAACGGAAGAGCGAATCCGTTGATAATGCTACCCAGAATTTCTAGAAGTTCGCCCACTCCATTAAAGTGTTCCGTTTCGTACACAAACCTGCAAAAAAAAGAGAAAAAAAATTAATAACAAATATAAGACAAAAATTTGTTTTTCCGTATTAAGAAAAACAAGTTAAAAAAAAAAAAGTTCAAGTATTAAAAATTAAAATTGAAAAAAATTCCTTTCAAATTTTTATATAAAAAAATAATTTTACAAAAATGGACAAAAAAAATACATTTTCTTAAAAAAAATTTCGAATTTCGAAATAAACGAATTTCGAAATTTTCTTGCAATTTAGTTATAATTCTTCTTTTTTTTTTTTTTGAAAAAAAGACCCATTGAATTAAAGTACAGAGAGTATAATTTTAAATAATAAATGTTATGAAATATGAGAGCTTTTAAAATTTTAAAGTCCCTTAAACATGAAAATCCAGGGGATTCATTTCGCTTCAAAGTTTATTGCATCCAAGTTAAAAGCCTTTAAATTTTCCAGCAACGAAAATGGCAACCATCTAACTCAATTTAAAATTTTAAAGAATGAAATTTACAATCTAGAAAAACACTATAAAAAAAAGGGTCATTCAATAAACTTCACTTGGAATTATATATGATTTACTTCATTTTTTTTTTCTTTTTTTTTACTACTTTTCGTTTTGACAGTTTTTCTATATTTATTACATTTTATATAAAAATCAAAAATGACAAAAAAGCTCAGTTGATTTTTCAAAAATTTGAATGACTAAAGAAAAATAAATAAAAAAAAAATCAAATTATAAATACAAAAAGAAATATCATTTTTTTCGTGTATTTTTGGAAAATTTGAATAAAATAAAAAACTGAAATTAAATATTATTTTTATATTATTTTGTATTACTAATTACTTTATCGGATAAAAAAAGGAAAATTATTAAAGATGAGAAAAATAGTTGAATTAAATGATATTTGGAAAATTAAAAAATTATAAATGATAAATAATAATAAAAAAAAAATTAAACACTCACCTAAGAAAGATATTATTTATCTGTTTGCGTATAAAGGCTCGAAGGCCAAGGAACTTTCCGTAAATACGATGTAAAACTGTCTTTAAAAAATCTCTTTCCCTAGGATCCTCCGAGTCAAAAAGATCCAATAACTGTAAAAAATATATCAAAAATTAGAAATTTGTTTTTTTTTTTAAAAAAAAACTCTTCGACATTAAATTTCCATAAAATTAATTGTCGATTTCAAAAATTTAATTAACACAATTTGTAATTTATAATTTTTCAAAGTTGTTATTAGATTTTGTATTTATTTAATTAATTAATTAATTATTAACTTTAAGGTAATTATTAGGTATTTTTTTTATGTTATTAAATTTTTTTTTAAACTGAATATAAACAAATTTTTTTTCTTTCGAAATAAATTTCTATTTTTAACTAAATTTTGACATTTTGAATTTCCCACTTTTTTGTAACAAAAAATAAATAATTAATTCTCTCTCGAAATTTTTATAATAAAATTTCAAATTGAAATTAAACGAAAATACAAAATGTTGGTTTCAAATTTTTGCAAAAATTATTTTTATCAAAATTTATTATTATTGCGATAGAAAATAAAAATTTCGACAAAGACAAAAATTGTTTTGTTTTTTGTTTTCAGACTTGAAAAAATAATTTAAAAAAAAGTGATTAGGAAATTTTTTAATTTATTTAAATAAATTAATTATTAATTATATAATATTCAATAATTAAGATTTAATAAATAATAATTTAATTAATAAATTTTTTTTTTAATAATTAACATATGGAAATTTGGAAAAATTCCAATTTCTCGATTTTAGATAAAAGAAAAAGAAAAAATAAAAAAAAAAGAGAAAAATATTACCTGTAAAACAAATCTTTGTTCGATAACTTTTTTTCCATAGGTAGGCTGAAAGTCTGAGGATTCGAGAAATCGAAGAAAGAACTCGTACACTAATTGAAGATGAGGCCAACTCGCCTCCATCGTTGGGTCATCCTCCTCAGGATCAAAATCTGGATTTTCACTAGGTGGTAGTGTTCGAAAAAGGTTCGCCGAGATCTGAGAATGAAAAAAGAAAAACATAAATCCAGTGAGAATTTTTTTTTTTTTTCAATTAATAAAAAAGTTTATTATTATTTCTACAATATTTTTATAATTATATAATTAATCAATTTAACATAATAATCACAATAAAAATAATAACAATAAAAATAAAAAATAATAATAATAATATAATAAAAATATAATAAAAATAATAAAAATAATAAATTAATAAAAAAAAAAAAAATTAAAATACGGAAAATAATTTTATACAAAAATTAGTTTTTGTAGTAAGAAAAAAAAATTATATCTTTTTTAGGCTTTTACATTGAATTTTAATCCCTTACATTATGCATCAAAAAATGATAATGAAATTAAATTTAAAGAAAAAAGAAAATATATAATTTTTTTTGGGGCAAAATTAAAAAATAACGTTAATTAATAATTAGTGTAAATACCATTTTAATGATTTCGGGGTAAACAGACTCAGTGAGTACCCCTCGACCTGCTGTCACGTACTCAACGAGTTCATTGAGAGTCGCACGTTTAATTTCCTTGTCCTTGAGATCTGCGACTGGGTCCATAAAGTCAAAAGTCACACAGCATTGTTTTAATTTCCTAATGAATAAATCCTCTTGCTCCGACGGCGTAACATCTATGGATAAAAACAAAAAAAAGATCATTAGTTTTTTTTTTTTTCTTTTTCTCAATTTATTTTTTCAATTATTTTCCAACAATGGTAAAGGAAATTTTTGTTGTTTGTCTAACTCCAATAATTAAATTTTTTTTAAATTAAAATTATTTATTAATATAATAGTAAATAATAATAATAATAATAATTTATTTAACAAATAATATATAATATATTCAAATAATATATAATTCATTCAACTTCAGTTTAGAATAATAATACAATTAAAAAAATATATAATTGCAAATAAAATTATTTATTTATTTATTTCATAAACAATAATTTTTGAATTATAATTTTTTTTTATTTTTTAATTAATTTCTCTTCATGACAAAAAAAAATTTTTCATTTATTATCTACGTAATTTTTTGTTTTTCTAAAGATCATTTAAATATGCCATTAGAAACAAAACAAAAAAGAAAAAGACATTTGAACAATTTATTTGTAAACAATAAGAAAAAAAAATGTATTTTTCTCTCTCTTAACGATTGAACAATAAAAATTAAATTTAAATTGATTGACTTTGAATTTGTCATAAATGTACGTTCATTAATTTTCACATTTATTCCGAATTAATTTCAATTTACTCGAAAGAATTATTGAGAAAAAAAAAATACAAAGATAAAAAAAATATTAGGAATATTACTATAATTAATTTGTAAAAACTAATTACTTTCTACAACAAATAATAATAATAATAATAAAATAAATAAAAATAATAAATTTAAAAAAATTATTATTATTATTTCTACTATTTTTTAATTACAATTAATTTTTTTTTATTTTCTGATTGAGAAACAAAATTTTTTTTAAAATTATTTTTGTTAAAAAAAAAGGAAAATATTTTATTGAGAATAGAAATAGAAAATAGAAAATTTAATAAACATTGAAAATATAGAGAAAAAAAAAATTAAAAAAAAAAAAAAAAAAAAAAGTTCCAAGTCAGTAGAAATAATACAAGATTATATAAGGGTATTTTCTAAGGTTTGCAAATGCCATTCCGAAGAAGCAATACAATGCACTAATGTGGTATCAATGTATAAAAATATTTGACATACCAATAAAAATAAAATAACATTCCCCCCCCTCATTTAAAAAAAGGAAAACCATCATTTCACTTATTTTCCTTCGAAAAAAAAAAAAAAAATTACAAATTAAATTAACTAACAAATTTTGTTAGTTTTTGTTTTTATTAACGTTTTTATTAAATTTTTTTATTAATTATTTTAATAAAACGAAATTCCGAAAATTGGAAAGCAAATTAATTTATGCAAAATTATAAAAATATTATTACAATTCAGAAAATTAGTCTCATAAATTATTAATCATGTAATTAATTAATTTTAAAAAATCTAAAATTAATCAGAAAATTATTTTTTTAATAAATAAATAAAAAATCTAATTTATTCTAAAAATTAACTATATGTAAAAAATTGTTAATCGTTCCATTAATTATTATATAAAAAAAAGAATGATGAAATTAAATAAATAAAATTATTATTAAAAATTAATTAATAAAAAGAAATTATAAAAATAAAAAAAAAATGCCAAAATAAATATTTCGATACTATAAATACAAAATAAATATATTTAAAAATTAATCGAATTTTTTATTATTTTATTTTGGACAGCAAATTATTTTTTTTTATTGAAAAATAATTTTTAAAAATAATTTTTTATGGTGATTATATTAATTATTATTTTCATATTAAAATTTTTTTCTCACCTCGAGGTAAGAAAAGAAAAGAAAAAAAAAAGAAAAAAGAAAGAAGGTGGAGAAAGAAGAGAAATTCAAGGGTTGAATGTACAAAAGATTGAAATGACATTAGTTGAGAATCCTTACAACTTGGCTCGAGTCAAATAATCGTACTTTATACTTTAACTTAATGGGAGATAACAGAGGCAGTTATTCAACGAGTTTCTGACTCTATGGAGATGAAATAGGTAAAGTCCCCCCCCCCCACTCCTCATGATGCAAAAGTTTTGAACGTTCAAATGAACAAAAAAAAAATTTTTTTGTTTTTTAAAATATTCAATTGGAAAACCTTTAAGTTGACCTACAAAGACGATATCAATCATAAAAACAAAAAAAAATTAATATTAGGGGTGATAAACCACCCCTAAGTAATAATTGATAGAAAACATAAGAGAATTAGACCCTTACGTAATAACTTTTTGGGTTCAAAAGTATATAAAAAAATTTGTTTTTTTACCCTAAACAACCACCATGTATTTAGACCCTTCGGACCCTCCCCTAAAAGCCACCCCCTCTTGGTAAAAAATCAAAAAGTCCATTTTCGACCCTTACGTAATAACTTTTTGGGCTCCAAACTAGCTAAAAAAATTTCTTTTTTTACCCTAAACAACCACCATGTATTTAGACCCTTCGGACCCTCCCCTAAAAGCCACCCCCTCTTGGTAAAAAATCAAAAAGTCCATTTTCGACCCTTACGTAATAACTTTTTGGGCTCCAAACTAGCTAAAAAAATTTGTTTTTTTACCCTAAACAACCACCATGTATTTAGACCCTTCGGACCCTCCCCTAAAAGCCACCCCCTCTTGGTAAAAAATCAAAAAGTCCATTTTCGACCCTTACGTAATAACTTTTTGGGCTCCAAACTAGCTAAAAAAAGTTGTTTTTTTACCCTGAACAACCACCATGTATTTAGACCCTTCGGACCCTCCCCTAAAAGCCACCCCCTCTTGGTAAAAAATCAAAAAGTCCATTTTCGACCCTTACGTAATAACTTTTTGGGCTCCAAACTAGCTAAAAAAATTTGTTTTTTTACCCTAAACAACCACCATGTATTTAGACCCTTCGGACCCTCCCCTAAAAGCCACCCCCTCTTGGTAAAAAATCAAAAAGTCCATTTTCGACCCTTACGTAATAACTTTTTGGGCTCCAAACTAGCTAAAAAAATTTGTTTTTTTACCCTAAACAACCACCATGTATTTAGACCCTTCGGACCCTCCCCTAAAAGCCACCCCCTCTTGGTAAAAAACCAAAAAGTCCATTTTCGACCCTTACGTAATAACTTTTTGGGCTCCAAACTAGCTAAAAAAATTTGTTTTTTTACCCTAAACAACCACCATGTATTTAGACCCTTCGGACCCTCCCCTAAAAGCCACCCCCTCTTGGTAAAAAATCAAAAAGTCCATTTTCGACCCTTACGTAATAACTTTTTGGGCTCCAAACTAGCTAAAAAAAGTTGTTTTTTTACCCTAAACAACCACCATGTATTTAGACCCTTCGGACCCTCCCCTAAAAGCCACCCCCTCTTGGTAAAAAATCAAAAAGTCCATTTTCGACCCTTACGTAATAACTTTTTGGGCTCCAAACTAGCTAAAAAAAGTTGTTTTTTTACCCTGAACAACCACCATGTATTTAGACCCTTCGGACCCTCCCCTAAAAGCCACCCCCTCTTGGTAAAAAATCAAAAAGTCCATTTTCGACCCTTACGTAATAACTTTTTGGGCTCCAAACTAGCTAAAAAAAGTTGTTTTTTTACCCTGAACAACCACCATGTATTTAGACCCTTCGGACCCTCCCCTAAAAGCCACCCCCTCTTGGTAAAAAATCAAAAAGTCCATTTTCGACCCTTACGTAATAACTTTTTGGGCTCCAAACTAGCTAAAAAAATTTCTTTTTTTACCCTAAACAACCACCATGTATTTAGACCCTTCGGACCCTCCCCTAAAAGCCACCCCCTCTTGGTAAAAAATCAAAAAGTCCATTTTCGACCCTTACGTAATAACTTTTTGGGCTCCAAACTAGCTAAAAAAATTTGTTTTTTTACCCTGAACAACCACCATGTATTTAGACCCTTCGGACCCTCCCCTAAAAGCCACCCCCTCTTGGTAAAAAATCAAAAAGTCCATTTTCGACCCTTACGTAATAACTTTTTGGGCTCCAAACTAGCTAAAAAAATTTGTTTTTTTACCCTAAACAACCACCATGTATTTAGACCCTTCGGACCCTCCCCTAAAAGCCACCCCCTCTTGGAAAAAAATCAAAAAGTTCATTTTCGACCCTTACGTAATAACTTTTTGGGCTCCAAACTAGCTAAAAAAATTTGTTTTTTTACCCTGAACAACCACCATGTACTTAGACCCTTCGGACCCTCCCCTAAAAGCCACCCCCTCTTGGTAAAAAATCATAAAGTCCATTTTCGACCCTTACGTAATAACTTTTTGGGCTCCAAACTAGCTAAAAAAATTTGTTTTCTTACCCTAAACAACCACCATGTATTTAGACCCTTCGGACCCTCCCCTAAAAGCCACCCCCTCTTGGATAAAAAATCAAAAAGTCCATTTTCGACCCTTACGTAATAACTTTTTGGGCTCCAAACTAGCTAAAAAAAGTTGTTTTTTTACCCTGAACAACCACCATGTATTTAGACCCTTCGGACCCTCCCCTAAAAGCCACCCCCTCTTGGTAAAAAATCAAAAAGTCCATTTTCGACCCTTACGTAATAACTTTTTGGGCTCCAAACTAGCTCAAAAAATTTGTTTTTTTACCCTAAACAACCACCATGTATTTAGACCCTTCGGACCCTCCCCTAAAAGCCACCCCCCTTGGTAAAAAACAAAAAGTCCATTTTCGACCCTTACGTAATAACTTTTTGGGCTCCAAACTAGCTCAAAAAATTTGTTTTTTTACCCTAAACAACCACCATGTATTTAGACCCTTCGGACCCTCCCCTAAAAGCCACCCCCTCTTGGTAAAAAATCAAAAAGTCCATTTTCGACCCTTACGTAATAACTTTTTGGGCTCCAAACTAGCTAAAAAAAGTTGTTTTTTTACCCTGAACAACCACCATGTATTTAGACCCTTCGGACCCTCCCCTAAAAGCCACCCCCTCTTGGTAAAAAATCAAAAAGTCCATTTTCGACCCTTACGTAATAACTTTTTGGGCTCCAAACTAGCTCAAAAAATTTGTTTTTTTACCCTAAACAACCACCATGT